AGCTCTTAAAAGAGCTTAGTTATTATGCTTCCTGGGGAGTATAGTGATATAGCAATCCCCAGGGTAGATGCAGCCTTTCCCCCTGCATATGAGATGAGACTCTATGTTGAGGGTAAAACAGGAACTCAGCTTTAATTGGGCAAACTGGCCTTTTATGCAAGTATCCCAACAAGGTTGACACCTTGTTGGGAACAGGACACAAAGTATGCAAGCCAATCAAAACAATGTGATAAGGAACAACACTCCCACATACAGTACACAAACCCTCCCCTCTGCCTGTGATACAATTAAGGCAGATAATGTATTAACTTAATTAATTAACATTAGGCAGAAAAAAATACACATTTTTATAAAGTACCCCAAAATACTACATATCCCCATACAACCTGATAGCCCTGATCTGGGTGAACAACATATCCAAAAATCACCCAGATCAGAGTAGGGGTAGAGTAAAGGGACTCTCCAGTGCCAGGAAAAAAAAAACGTTTTCCTGGAACTGCAGGTCTCCTCTCCCTCCCACCCCCCATCCCAAGTTAAAACCCCTTCAGTAACTTACCTGTATCCAGCGCCAATGTCCCTCTGCGCTGGGTCAGGGTTCGCCCACGATCCTCCCCCGCCGACGTCATCCGGCAGGGGAGACCCATTGCACATGCGCCGCCGGCCAGCGAGGGGAGACCTAATGCACAATGCTTTCAGTGCTTTCCTATGGGGATTTCAGCGACCCTGGAGGTCCTCGCATAGCGTGAGGACATCCAGCGACACTATAGCACATGGAATGTGTGCTATAAACACGGAAGTGCCCTCTGTGGCTGTCTAGAAGTTTATGAAAACTGCAATAATTACACTTGCAGGGTTAAGGGTAGTGGGAGTTGGCACCCAGACCACTCCAATGGGCAGAAGTGGTCTGGGTGCCTGGAGTGTCACTTTAAATCTACCAAATGGCGCTCCTTTTGTGCAATTCCAGTTGAACAGCGGTGTTCGTGCCGTCGAGTGTCCAATTTTATTTCCATGCGCTCGACGACAAAACACAGCTGGATGCGTTCGACTAAACAAGATGGCCGTCGCCACGTGTTTGACTATACGAACAGCCACCACCCAGCCGTTTTTCAATTAAGCTGCTGTTAACCACAGATTCTGGGAGGTTAACAGGCTGCACACTCCTCTTGCGGGTGGTCCGGTTGTTCGACAGTTTGTTTGGTAAACCAACACCATAAGCCTAATCCATTCGGTAAACTCCATATTCTGCACCATAGCAGGGAAAAAGTCACGAACCGTGTTTTTAGCCCAAAGTTCACCACAGGGCCATAGTCACAGGACAGGAGGCTGGCAAACAGGCCCCTCCAAAAACCAGTGGCGAGGTCATCTTCGCCACACAAGGTACTGTCCATGGGTTTAAAAGATATATAGACCTTAAGTTTTATCAATTTCTATCCAAGAGCCATCCCCTTACTCCTATCATTTACACCATACCTAAAATACCACAATGTCCTATAGACCTGATCAATGGAGCACTCAAGCCTATTGCTAAGTGGATTGACCATTTATTCAAGGGGCCCATCGTGGAATTGCATGTGTATCAAGGATACCAAGAAACTATTTTTTTTTTTCTTGTCAATCTTTATTTTTATTGTGCCATAGATTAAACATGCATGACATTAGAACAGTTGTGCGTGCATAGGTACAGGCAATATCATGATTACATTAGTTCAAGAAGATGTGTCCACACTAATCTAGCCACATTTTGTAGGTAAATTAAAAAAAGGTGTACGCCTGGAGGAACATACTACGCTAAATGGTAGTAGTGTAACTGGCATATTAGAAATGCTGTGTAACAGGTTATTTGTGCAAGATGAGAAAAACACTGGAACTTGGCTCTTTCATAGATTACTCTATAGCTCAGAATAAAAAGTAAAAGGATAGGAAACAAAGAAACAAAAATAAGAACATTGCAAACAGTGTAGTGTAGGAGCATGCAATAGGCGTACAAAAAACAGTTGGGTAGGCTAATAGCCTATGACTAGTAGGTAGTTCTAGGGGGTAAGTCCACAAACAACCGATGCCCAGGTTCAGTGGTAGATGGAGGTAGCTGAGAGGCAATGGGAGTCCGGAGCCAAGCTGAGTAGGCACGATAATAGGTAGACTTCAATGAAAGGTATTACATTAGGATCCACTATATAATGATGTCATGTAACATAGATACTTACTGAAAATCTACATGACCACTGCATCTTAAGTGGATCCTCTCTAGGTTTAATCTTTCATTACTGGAACATTAACATTCCCAGTACAAATCAGGGGTTACATCATCTTCTAACGGTATGACAAATAGTTCGATCTCGGCTTGCTAACATGACATTGAAAGGTTGCAAGCCGGTAAATCGAACATATGCCAGGCAAAAGAAGATAAATCAAGTGCACACTACCCTCAACCAAACTAAAGCACGTCTGCACAGCTACCACTTTCAATGTATAATACCCTTCTATATTTTTTATGAATGAGACATAACTTAGGTATGTCCACCAATGATCTTCCCTTTAGGCACGAGTAGGCGTGCCTTAGAAGAACCGGCAGGGATGGACCGAGACAGATCAAATCTTCTGGCAGGAAAACATAAGAAACACCCCTTAATCTCATTGGTGACTCCTATCATCCCTAGCATTTAAATGACGACAGCTAAGCAACATATTCATTGATACCTCAGACGAAGGCGCTTTAGCAGCGCCGAAACGCGCGTCGGGCTGTTCTTTAGATTTTATATTCACTGCATGAATTGAATTATTTATTTATGGTGGGAGGTCTGGAGTTAACTACTCTGTGAGATGCCTCTTTCATCGAATTGAATTATTTATTTATGGTGGGAGGTCTGGGGTTAGCTCCTCTGTGAGATGCCTCTCATTAATCTGACTGATATATATATATATATATATATATATATATACCAACGTTCAGGCAGGCAGGAACTAAGTATCCTTTCAGCTTTGCCACTGTTTAGATTGTTAGTTAGTTTGACTACAGTGTATCGCTTCCATAACAGTGTATTAGAGGGATAGCGGCACAGACTGTTTATCTATACATTCCATAGCTCTGCACCTCTCAACTGCCTAGTTGGAGATGCACTAGAATAACCATTCTTTAGACACATTCTAAGGATGATATTCATCTGACCTATTACAACTATAGATTCTAGCTTGCACACCTGTTGTCAACTCACACAACAGTGACCATTATCAATGATGACCTCTGCAGCCACTGTCACTTTCTGTTAGTGGGACAGTCATATGCCCCCACTCTATATTCAGTGGTACAAGATTAGTGGTATATTGTGGTCATTGCACCTTATACATCTGGCCACCTTTATAGAGTTTCTCAGGTTTCAGCAGACTAAGCCTAACTTTATGTCCTCTTTCTTTATTTAGCAATCTACTCTCACTGGTATTATCACAATTTACCCTCACAATTGGGTAGTTGTACTCACAATTACATACTATCTACTACCTGCATGGGCAACTTCTCTTATATTGGTTCAGTTTCTTTTTCACATTTTCACTATTTTCTTATATCTATTACATTAGATTTTTTTATCTAGTATAATAAAAGTAATTTTTTTTTTTCCAATTTGAAATTTTTATTATCTTCAAGAAAAGGTATGGGGTACAGAAAAGAAGAGGGAGCGTTAACATATCATGGGGATGACACAATCACATTTTGTACATCTTGGTAGCTTCATGTGTAAGTGGGGGGTATGTCAGCAGGTCGAGGGGGTGTTGCTGATTGCTCAACTTATACAGTGTCGTCATGTATCTATGACAATGTCGTCGTGTATCTATGCCAATATCAACCCTGTGATAAAAGTAATTTTTTTAAGTATATACCTTATTAGGAGGAACTCCGACCCCCTTGGGTGTTCCCTGACACACCTTCTAGTCCCTTCTAGAGAACTAGATGTATTTTTCTTGTCCAGTTTGTAATATATGCACAACCCTCTTCCCAGCACTTTACTTGTCTTTATATCCAATTTACTTGGAGTTCATGATTAGGGACTTACTTGTCTGTTTACACACATTTCCATAGTGACATTCGCAGCTTTGCACTGGATTTCTACACAAAACACCCTCTCCAAACCCTGTCTTCTGGTATTCCACTAATGGGGACACCAGAGACAAGTAATCAGAAAATGCAAAACAAGCATCTCAGTAAATGAACTGTGCTGAAGGCATTTTCCCTAGGCCCTGGAGGGACATCAAAATGGCATGCCCACTTTGTTTTTTTTAAGAAGTATAATTATTAAAATGGGGATTCCTTTCTGGTTATTAAAACTAATAGGGTATTATGGTCACAAGTATCAATATCACTCAAAGGCTTTGAGTAAATGTAATATTTATAAACTGTTGATAAAGTAAATAAATTAAGCGTGCCCACTTTTTTTCTGCTCATTGAAATGTGCCTTGTTCATAAAACGGATGTGAATCACTGTTATAAGGAACATTTGTATACTTTAAGCAGTATGTGCATTTAAAGCATCATTAAAATACACCTACCATTAAAATTATAGACTAATCATTTCTTTGTCAGTGGACAAATACTTGTTTCCCTCACTTTATAGGTAAGCCCTGTGAGGGCTGTCCAAAGTAACAGAACTGGGACGATACCTGACTTACAGAATTATTCTTATTTGGCTACTTATGCCTACATTTTTAAATTCACTTTGCATTGACTTTGACTAGCAACGTTTGGGTCTGTTTATGTAAATGTTGTCAGGATAGTTTTGCAGAGTTGTTAATGCAATGCACATATAAAGAAAGAGAGAAAAAACAGAGGGGGAGGAGGAAAAGAAAATGAGAATGGAACACTGAGTAAGAGAAAGAAGGGAGAGTGACTATAAACCACATTCTTTGACGTTACAGATAGAAACTGTGGAGGTGTGCTCTCCTCCCATCAGCTAACAGGGGAGTTATATTTACGTAATGCAGACACGCACAGTTTCTATTACTGTGAGCTAGCCATTCCTGTAAGAGGCGGACCAGAATCTCTGTGCAGGCTCAGGTGTAGTGTTATGGTTACATTCTAAATTACAATGCCCTTCCCAGAGCAGTCAGCATAACATGAAGTGCAATGCTATGGAGCTATACCTCACAGATGTCCATCCGATATAGCTGGGCTTTTCTCATCAGTCAGTGCTTTGTGGTGCAGATCGTACTTGCAGGTAAGGCTAATTAACATTTGTGATTACACTGTTTTGTGTCTCATGTGAACTATATATCAAGGTGATCATATTGTAAGCTTGTTTGGGCATGTTCCGCTGAACTTTCTGTTGCTGTATGTCCAGCTTTTACTTGTTCCAGTTACTTGTTTGTCCATCTATTGTACAGCGCTGTGGAATATGTTGGTGCTTTATAAATAATATTAAGTAGTATCCCTAATATAAAATTGTAATTAAATAGAAAACCATAGAGGCAGCAGATCGGTAGCAAGTTTTATCAGCCTCAGAGATATGGAATGCAGTAGTGCCCCCGTATTCATTACTAGTTACTCTATGAATTGTACAGAGGAACATGGCACGAGAGAGCATGTAAAACATGAACATCTGTTATAGTGACTGGAAGCAAAAAGTTACACTATATAGACTGTTAATAAAAATCAGTAGACAGGCAGAAACTGACAGATCACTAAACAGAAACCTCATGACTAGTGACTGGATAATAAAAGAAGGCAGACTATAGCAATATGAGCAGGTATTACTGTTATTCGGTAAAAAGATAGGAAATTGAATGCTGCGAGGCAGCCAGGAAACCTTTCATCATTTTGGGTTATCCCCTTGTTGGAGGCTAGAGAATTGTATACACTGTTCTATTCACACAGTTAAGGTTAACCATTGCAGTGCTGTCAGGGTTTTAAATGGGGTGCAAAGCTCCTCTGACTGTGAATATGAATTTATTTCTCTCTCTCTTTTTTTTGTTAGTTAGTTAAAACAAGTACTAGCAGGGAGTGCCTTTTAAGAACCGTTCGTGAATAATGTGAAAATGTCAGACATGCTGTATGTCATGGACTTACAGGGAAAGTCCCTAGTTTAATCCCTGCCTTTGTATTAAACTGCATTTTTTTCCATTGATAGAAAGGTCAGTGTAGCTATGTATGACAATATTACACAAAATGTTACTTATTTTTCCATTTTTAGGAACATTCTAAATCACATTGAAACTTACATAGTTACAGTAATATGGGTTGAAAGAAAATTCAAATACATGAAGTTCAACATTTAAAACATCTTTGTATGTTGTTGTTCCAAAAAAAAGGCATAGAAAAAACAATTTGACCTGTTTTTGTAACTTTATGTGTGTCACTGGGTGTATCTGTGTGTCTGTGTAGCTACGTGTCTGTATGTGCATATCTGTGTATATGTGTCAGTGTGTGTATCTGTATGTCTGTATCTGTATGAGTGTCAGTGTGTTTATCTGTATGCCTGTAATGTCAGTTCTACCCCAGTGATGTAGGACAGTGTGTAAATCTGTATGTCTCTGTATATGTATGTGTGTGTGTCATTGTTTGTATCTGTGTTTCTGTATGTGTGTAAGTGTGTGTTTGTGTGTATATATATATATATATATATATATATATATATATTAAAATGGGGTGTGTCACTGTGCGTGTCTGTATATGTGTCAGTGTGTGTCCATCTGTATGTGTCCGTGTGTGTATCTCTATGTTTGTAAGTGTTTGTATCTGTGTATCTGCATGTGTGCCAGTGTGTGCATCAGTGAGTCTGTGCAATTGTATGCGTATCAGTGTTTGCATCTGTATGTCTGTGTATCTGCATGTGTGGCTGTGTTTGTATTTGCACATCTGTATGTGTCACTGTGTATGTATCTGTATCTCTAAGTGTGTCAGTGTTTGTATCTCTGTATCTGCATGTGTTCAGTGTGTATTAGTGTGTCATGTGTCTGTACATCTGCACGTGTGTCAGTGTTTGTTTCTGTGTGAGTGTTTGCACCTGTGTGTCTTTGTGTGTCTGTATCTGTATGTATATCAGTGTTTTTATATGTGTGTCCGTACATCCACATGTGTCAGTGTTTTTATCTGTGTATATGCAACTGTGTCAGTGTGCGTATCTGCAATACACACATGGAAGGCGGAGCCTGTAGTTGTGAGAGGGGATATTGATATAAATACACAGGTCACCCCTCCCTCTGAAAGGAGTATTAGGTTGCGCCAAAAAGTAGATATAGCAAAATCAAAAAATTGTAGTACAACAATCAATAAAAATTTAAATCTATACATATAAAACAGGTAAAATACATGTAGATGATGTGGTAAGTACTTACAAATAGCAGTACATACAAAGAAGGATAGATGAAAAGTCATAAAATAAGCAAGGGTTAATCAAGTCCGCTTGAGGGAAAGAAACAGTCCTTGTAGGATTAGGGAAACGGATGTGACGTCTTGTTCCAGGTGCCAATATGCAAGAGAAAACAAGATAAAAGCTCCAATGGTATAGATAGTTTTTTCCGCTTCTTTGTAGAAATGCAGAGTTAAAAGGTATCACACTCACCTATATTAGAGCTAAAACTAGCTCGGGTGTGCTTCGCGTTCAGTGGTACTGGTCCCCCACTGGTGGGATGTAGACGTATATACGTGGCCGAAATCCTCGGGAAAGAAGAGGATAACACAGAATAGTGCTCACTGTATGAATAGATATTTAAAAAGGAGTAAAATGTGTATAAAATACTCACATTTAAGTGTGCAGGAAATACTGCTCACTAATATGGCGTAGGTGGTATCATCCCAACCTGGGATTCTTGAACGTAAAGTAATAATAACCAGGTCCAGAAAATAATAAATAAATCAAATATAGTAAATAGAAAATAAAAAAAGATATTATCAAAGATAAAAGATAGAATATAGGCCAATAATACTTTATTGATAAAATGTAAAAAATATATATAAAATAGCCAAAACGCATTTCGCCACACAGGGCTTTTTCAACTGGCAATAAGAAACAGAGACCTGGTTCACAATGGTTTAAATAACCTCTCAATACATTAACAATTTCAAAATTGGCGCTAAAATGACATCATAATTTATGCATAAATTAATAGTGCAGCATATATATGATAAAACAATGATTCTGATATAAATGAAGCTTCATGGGGGTAATAAAACAAAAAGACATAAAAAACATGTAAAATAATAAGTAAGGAATGCACAAATTAATGTATAGTATAATTATAAAAACGAAGGGTTATTGTGTTGCTTGCGGTCATGTGACCGCAAGACAGCCAATAGCATAATCATAAAAACGTAATGGAGCAGAGGGGAAAGTGGGAAATGTAGGCTAAGTGTACTTCCGGGTACCGGCGGTCACGTGACGCGGAAGAACCAATAGCGTTCTAGCATCTAATCACCTCCCTCTTGGCTGAGACTGGACTGGAGACCCAGTTCAAAGGTCATCAACACAAACTGCCTAACCCCCAGACAAGCTGGTCTTGGCCTAGTTTAATACGTCAATTTTCTAATATACGAGGGTCAAAGAAATACAACCTTTCATACTGCATTCCAATATTACACATGGCCTCGTTAGGCCCACGCAAGTCTTTTCCCTCTCTTGGCACACACCCGAAAACCTGGTACCTATCACTATGCATTTAACATATCCAGGCTTCTTTGGTCTGTCACTATTTTAACTCTTTAGTACCTCCACCTTAAGGCACTTGCTAGTTCTGGTATTTCACTTTCTACAGTACACTATGGGATTTGATTAATGTGATGGTTGGGATTTTTCAGGGTGTTCTTTCTCATACACACTTCAGGTCCTTCTGGTGGAATGATGTGCCTAAATTCGGTACAAACAGGTATTGGTCGGGGCTTTTAATGAAAACTGTTCATTTTCAGTTACTCAAAAAAATGAAAATCCAGCGCACTCGCTTATCTACCTAACAGTCATTTTAGTGCTAAACAATTTTCAGTTTTATTAAAAACACATAATCTAGGCAAAAATATATAATGGGGGTTTAGTTACAGTATATGATCATACATTGCATAAGCCTGCCACAACGCCAATGTACCCCATCTTTGGCAGGTCCTACTCTGTTTGCTAAATGAGCTACTCACTTGGGGAAATCCTTCCATCTCGAGGTCTCTGCAGTACAATGCTTAAATAGGATCCTGAGATGAGGCACCTGTAACAGGGAGGGGTGCAAAACCCATGGAGCTGGCTAGACTCCTAAATATATACATATATGAGAAAATAAGGGTTTGGCTGCACTCACCTACACATGCTAAATTAGGGTGCTGCTGGGGGCCAATAAGTACAGTAAAAATGAAAATCCAGCGCACTCGCTTATCTACTAAACAGTCATTTTAGTGCTGAACAATTTTCAGTTTTACCCCATCTTTGGCAGGTCCTACTCTGTCTGCTAAATGAGCTACTCACTTGGGGAAATCCTTCCATCTCGAGGTCTCTGCAGTACAATGCTTAAATAGGATCCTGAGATGAGGCATCTTCAGTTACTCCACATGTCTGCACTGTTATGTTTTATAATATGCCTTTCTGTCACTGTGCCACTTGCGGCTGGTTATCCTAAACTTGATAATTTGGGAACCGCACGCTCACCTACTGACATATACTTCACTTCATTGCATATCTGGGGGTATAGTCAACTGAGCCATTTATCACACTGTTTAATAGCCTTTGTTAGTTTGGTAACAGATATTAATAGAGTAATAGAGTATTTTGGGTTCTGGGCTCCTTGCACTTACTTTACTTACCTTACCGGCAAACTGGTGCATTTTCATTGGTGTTCGTGTCGTAGTTCTGAATTATGAACTACGTTCTTGGTTCTCTCTCTCTCTGGTTGGATTTTGGTTTTGGATCTCGGTAAACCTTTTTCTTTTGCCCTCCACTTTCCATTTACCTATTCTTACCATCAATTTCTAGCATAGCTTTCATTTATCTGCCAGGTGCATATCTTATCATGCCACATTTATTCTTTTGTATTTACATTTTTTAAGTCACCACGTAAGTGACTTGCTTTACGTTACTACCTCCATTCTTACAATAACCACGCGCTCTACAAAACTTATCTTTAGCTTGGACTGGCTGTTAGGGTACCCTAAGTGGCCATAAGTAGTTTTTGGCTTCTTGTACCATTATATAGCTGTCCTGCGAGGCCAACTCCCATCCTCAACTACAGAGGTATTCGCCCCTCGGGCCAAATCATAGTTACTGCCTCGCATCTCCGCCCTCTTGGCAAAGCAGATAGGGCCTCACCCGTCACAGCCAACTTATTTTGAATCTCTTTAATCCTCACCGAGAGGCCAACGTTCGGTGCAAAACATACCCAACGGGCCAAATCATTGGTAGAGCCTCTCATCCCCACTTGGCAACTAGTTAGGTTCCCAAGTCACCAATTTAGCTTAACTGTTTCACCACTTGGTATAACATAGGTCAGCCAGTATCTTTGTGTTATAGAGTATCTCCCACTAACCAATTTTCCCTTTCAGGTATGGTTATAAATGCTGATAAAATGTATTGATGGTTTAATGTAGACACGTATTAAGGTGTTAGACTATAAACTTTTTGCCCTCTTTTTACCGGCCTACCCGAATGTCGGTTCCAGCACTCCACAACCGACTTGTGCACCACTAACATAACTCGGCTTATTGTCCCTGACCACAAATATAGATAGATAGAGAGACATGGGGATCTTGATGCTGGGAATCCTAGGGAGGAGTAAAGGAGAGATGGGGCAGAGAAAAATGTATGCATTTGAAATAGCAGCAACTATACTAATTACAAAAAGTTTGCTAATATGAGGGGTACAGTTTATGGAAATGCCAAAGGGTACACAAGTGGTCTATATGATAGATAGCTATCTCCTACAATTACATTGGAGCTATGTGGGAACCTTCAGAGCTCCTACATACCCAGGTCTCAATCACAAAATCTGCCCAAGAATAGAAAATTAACCCATACAAAATATAGGGAAAATGGAAACATAAACATACCATTTGGAGATTTTATTCTTCAGTTATGCACAGAATTGATGCTGATAATGCAGAAGTGTAAATTCAGCATTACCAGGTGGATACATTAGGGATGAAAATTGTCGGCCCTCACACCACAAAGGCAGATGTAGTTCCAGATAAAAAAAATAAGTAAAAAGAAAGCTATTAGCCAGACAAAGATTACAATCTCACCGGGCCTTAGAAAAGTTACTGGTTTGGGTCCTATCTTCGTCCTTCACATAGGAATGGTGAATGAGTCCAAGAAAATTCATGGTTCCAGGCAGTGGTGTACATACAATACATGGGGCCCCGGTGCGAATCTGATCCGTGGGGCCCCCCTCTCCCTCCTGATCCATGGCCCATCCCCCCTGACACATAGATACACACAGACAGATATACAGACACACACACATACATACACTCATACATAAATACAGACACATACATACACACATAGACACACATACACACACACACCCCCGACAGACATACACACAGAAACATACATACATACACACAGACATACATACAGAGACACAAATACATACACACCCCCGACAGACACAAACACACTTTTATTAAGGGTTAGTAAGTATATAGGGGTGTATATAAAAAATACCCCTCTCTGTCTCATTAGAGATATCTTTGCCAGAAGCTCAAGGAAGCAAGATAAAAGGTCCGTGTAGGACCCACCTGATGGGGTTTGCCTTGACGGGGCAGGCAGGCATTCTCTCCAATGGCCATTTGAGTAACTAAATAACCTCCAATAGTTTAAATATACATAGAGATTTAGGAGAGAGTGCAGTAACTTTTTCTTTTGTTTTTAATGTATGTATTGGGGCTGATGTGTACTGTGGTCGTTGTTGCTGCAAAGGAGCGATGGGAGTGAGCGCAGGACTTTATTTTTATTTTTTATTTTTTAAATCTATTCCAGTATACAATACTAATTGACTCCCAATATACACTTATTTTAATACAACACCTGTCATAATATACATTTGAAAACTTTGTTAAATTTTCTCCTGTACAAAATCCAATTCAATTAGGGAGAAGTAGACTAAAAAAAAACCAATCCCATAGTGAGAAAAACACATCTAAATTAGTGACAAAAAGTAATCTCAAAGTGAAATGTATTTAAATACATAGGGGTGTGTCTGTGATAGAACAATATTAGAGCTCCTACAGATAATAGATTATTGACTAAAACAGTTGTTACTAGAATGGAGAATTACTCCTATTTGAGGTTAGGGTGGATGTACCGAGCATATCAGATTATTTAAAGTATAGTCCTAATGGACAACTGGAGGATGACATACAATGGTTTCTTATCGCTATTTACTGTGCTAGTATTTTGTATATTGCAATTGTAATTAAGTGTTATCCATGGCTGATTTATCTGTTATAAACCTATTGTCAATCTAAAAATAATTAATTGAACCAAGTGTAGTCCTACTAAATTCACCTAATAACCTAAATTATTAAATATTATATCTACCCCTAATTATGACAGTACTCATAATTCATTTAATGAAAGTAAAATAAGTAATTTGTACTCTGATCATTTTGCATTATTAGACAGTTAGCAAAAGGGATATTTTAATTTTAAATAAACAAATGTAATGTATGGAAGGTTGCTCAATTATTTTCCCACAAATAGAATACAAAGTTTCAAAAGGATAGCAATTTTTTATGCAAAAGTAAAGATTATTCAGATAGCCAAAGCTATTAACCAAATTACATACTGAAAAGGTTGCTATAGTAATAAATGCCCTGACACTATTAGGTTAAAGGACCGCTATAGTGCCAGGGAAACACACTTATTTTCCTGGTCCTATATAGTCCTTAGGTCCCCCCACCCTCAGGGCCCCCGTCCCGTTGGGCTGAAGGGGTTAAAACCCCTTCAGCCACTTACCTTAATCCAGCGCCGGGCTCCATCGATGCTGGTGACCTCTCCTCCCCCTCCGACGTCAGCTCCCGAGTGGAGCCAAAGGCGCATTACTCAATGCTTTCCTATGGACGTTCTGCATGCTCAATGCGATTTTTGCGTTGAGTGTCGCGGGAGCGCCACTAGCGGCTGTCATGAAGACAGCCAGTAGAGGCTGGATTAACTCTGCAATGTAAAAATAGTTTCTTTGAAACTGCTACATTTACAACTGCAGGGTTAAATCCTGGGGACCTGGCACCCAGACCACTTCATTGAGCTGAAGTGGTCTGGGTGATTATAGTGGTCCTTTAAAGATAGCAGCTAAAAAATCAGTAGCTAGATGTAATATTTGTATTGCAGTAAGAAAAATTAGGACTAGAAGACTTATTGTATATGGAATTAAAAAAGCATGAAATGTACTCTCTAATAAATAAAAAAAATAATTCAAAAAACCCTAGTAGCATTTTACCTCTGCACAATGCACTGCCCCTGGAGTCTCGAAATGGATCTCCTATATTAAACAGCCCAAAATATTAGTTAGATAGCAAATCCCAGATCCCCCTGTAACTCATTGCACAAATGATGTGAGGCAAGACTAAATGGGCAACTGTTAAAAACACTACACCAGCTATCGTGCATCATCCCCAATGAGGTGGGTGTAACCCATGGCTACAGATTAAGCCAATGGGCTTCCTACAATTGTACCAAATGCTGACGGAGTGGGATAAAAAACCTTTTTGTGTTTACAATCATGCATTTTATACCATGTATAATAGGAATATATGCTCCTCTTTTTTAAGACAAATACACTTTGTATCAACGAGGATAATTTGTTGTTTTACATACAAGGTGTTTGTAGAATTGTTTGTGCTTAGTACTCACGCCTCTGTGAGCCTATCACAGTATATGCCTGGTTTGCTGTCTGGTTATACGATAAACAAGTTATTTTCACTTTAATTTCCATATTGCTGTCTTTTATTTTAATTAATCATTGCAATAAAAACAAAGTTTTGCAAAAATACAAATTACAGTATTTCAAATCAGTACATTATATATTGTTCGTAGAGACATAAAAGTTTACATTGTTTGTAATGTAAACAGAAGACAGATAGGAAAAAATAATATGGCTGCTGGGTTTGTCATAATAGGCACAAAAAGTAAGGAAAGATTTGTTTTCACAAATCTTCTTTTGATAAAGAAATTCAGATGAGCCAAACCATCCCCCACAAATGAAACAGTAAACAGGGTAACAGGGGGAACCCCTGCCAAGTACCTTTTTTTTTTTAAATGGTAAAGAGTTGAGGAACAGTAATTACCTCAGTGTGAGTGTTGTTATATAGTGATTGGATATCCCAAAAAGCTATAGGCAAAATTAAGTTAGTTTAGAAGATAGCATAGATAATACTATTCCAATCTGTTGTGTACCTTCCCTGAGTACAGAGATAGTAACAGAGAAGGTGTTTGAAAGTGAACCATCCACCGAGTGACACTAATATTATATCAAGTATTTTAATATGCCTGTCTAGTAGTTTAGTAAAAACATTTAGGTCAAAATTTAAAAGCAAGATAGGGTGGTAATTTTGTGCAGAGAAGAGATGTTTGCTTTTGTTGGGAATAACACAATACAATTACTTTAAAGGACCACTATAGGCACCCAGACCACTTCAGCTTAATGAAGTTGTCTGTGTGCCTGGTCCAGCTAGGGTTAACCCTTTTTTTTTATAAACATAGCAGTTTCAGAGAAACTGCTATGTTTATAAATAGGTTAATCCAGCCTCTAAAGCCTCTAGTGGCTGTCTTATTGACAGCCGCTAGAGGCGTTTGCGTGCTTCTCACTGTGAAAATCACAGTGAGAAGACGCAAGCGTCCATAGGAAAGCATTATGAATGCTTTCCTATGAGACTGGCTGAATGCGCGCGCAGCTCCTGCCACGCATGTGCATTCAGCCGAAGAGGAGGAGATGAGGCGGAGAGGAGGAGGAGAGCTCCACCGCCCAGCGCTGGAGAAAGGTAAGATTTTAACCCCTTCCTCACCCCAGAGCCCGGACGGAGGGGGTCCCTGAGGGTGGGGGCACCCTCAGGGCACTATAGTGCCAGGAAAACGAGTATGTTTTTCTGGCACTATAGTGGTCCTTTAATAATATTTTTAAAGAGTGAGAGAAGATGAGGCCCAGAACTTCGTCAAAGGTTTTATAGGTAAGAAATCCTATATGGACCAGGTTTCATATGAGCTAATTTTTTCAATTTCATCTGCTAAAACTGGGTTGTCCAGTAAAAATAATTGGTCTTGGGAAGGTCATTGCAATCAAATAAATGTATAAAACCTTGTCATGTGAGGTGTTGAGGGTTCGGCATGATTGGGGAGTGATTATATAGTGCTTCAAATTAAAAAGTAAATAGTGTGTTTATATCCTAGGGGTTTTTGACAATGGAACCATATGACCTATGAAGGGATGTAGGTTGCTTTGATTTGTTTTTGCCATGAAGCACCTGGCTGAGAGGAAGTCAGTTTTGTCAAAATACAAAAGAATTAATTTTGGACCAGGCCAATCTCTATTAGTTCCTTTACGTTTTTTCGTAGTTGACTGTAGATGTAATTTTGTTCAGGGGTATATTTGTGTTTGAAATGTCATCTGTATTAGGCAGCTTGACACTGCGGTTAATTTTTCTTTTTTTTGGTGATGGGATGAAATTTATTTTAGGTCATCTCTAATAATTGACTTGTGTGTTGAAAAAAATTATTTTTAAAATTATGGAGCATGTACATGATCCAGCTAAGCAATATTGTCCATGGTAAAAGATGCAATCCAAGCGAATGTCTTCAGGAAACAAAAAACCCTTGCACTTGTGATGACAATGAACAATTATAAGGATTCCAATATATTTTTTGTAAGGAGTATTAGGGTAATACACATTTAGGATGGTCTCAGAAGCCATAGACCACAGAACCATACATAATGACCTTCGAAGTCTGAATTTGCAACAAACATGGTTTGTTGTACAAGATTGCTACTCTGTTCCTTTTTCCATAGGCCCTGGGAGAAAACACATATTCATGGTCAATTAATTTAGGGGTAATTTTTTCACAAAATGCATTTGTTGTATGAGAGCTATTGCAAAACTTTGTCATTTTAGAATGAGGAGAAACATTAGCATTATGTGAGATGAGTTCAGCTTCTTCACAATTTGTGATACAATTTCAATTAAAGTGAGCATTTGTGAAATTAGATAAACAGGTACATTATCATATATACTTTCATATAAGCTCTGAGAAGTGGACATTAGAAGACAAAGGTCACAACACTCAAAAATGAATAGAAACGTGTAAAAACAATGAATATAACTGTAAATCAATAAAACAGAAACCAAGAGGCTAAATGGAAAACAAGAGATCACAGCATAAATGGACTGGGAGTCTGAAAGAGAGAGGGTTGTTTCTATTTTGATTTTTGATTTTTCTGGCTCATTTCATTATCGCTCAAAGGAGATATGTTAGTGCCGAAGAGTGTGGGGGCTAGTTGCAAATGTATGAAGTATTAGAGCCATTGAAGATTGGGGGGGGGTTCTCATATTCTTGCCACAATCAACTTACAAGTGGAGTCGAAGCTGTTACAAGAACATTTTGGGCACCATAATAACTTAATCAAAATTATGTTGTTATGGTGCCAGGAGGTCCCTGGTGCTGGCTCATCTTAAGGGGTTAACCCATTCTCGAATGGTTTCACCCTAAAGTCTGTGTTTCAGTGCCAAATCTCCCTGCCTTTCTGTCCTTACATTTTATCAAAATCTGAGAACCAAAAGGCTCTTGCAGAATCACACAGAGGTATTTGGCTGAGATCGGTCTGCTGATGCTCTCAACCACTCTGTGACTCCCCATTAATAAAACTGGCTTCTTTTCAAGCCAGTGTTATGCCTGCTTGACTACTATATGCTGCTTCTGTGCTAATACAACTCTGGTAAATTTCAACATTAAACAAGGGACATTATCTGTGATTTTGTTGATTATCCAGTGCTGCACATCACTCTCAAATGGTGCTCAGGCCACCTGTAATTACTGTTTTATGTGGTTTTCTTCTGGAGAGGAATAATTTTAGTGGGAGGATCGAAAGAGGTCACAAACACATTGACAGGTTATAGAAATTGTACAGATAATTGTACATGTACATCAACATGTGAAAAAGCATAAAACGGTTAATATAATATTCTTTTGAAGAGTGCTTTAAAGCTGCCTGCAGTAATGTAATTCAGCGCAAAAGTGTAAAGTATCAAGTATCTTCTTACATAAATTATTATATATGGCTCAGATTAAAAATATACTGGGGTCAAATTTATCATTTCTGCCTCATCGTATTGCCCTACTGTATGCTTCCAAAACTGTTAAACATTATAGTTAAGAAGTGTATAATAATTGACGGTTTCTCTTTTGGGTTCCAGGTAGTCTTCTGCCTCCCTTGAATGTCACAACGGTGTCCCGTAATTTCAGAATATTCCTTGTGTGGCTTCCAGCTCCTGAAAATCCTCAAGATGTATCATACACAGTGCACTACAAACTGTAAGCTGTTAAATGAAAGCACTTTATTGCATATTAAAATATTATTATATGATACTTTTTTTCTGTAGCTATCAGACTATAGCTTGCTGTTTGCATTGGTTAAGACTTAACCAATGGGGTGTCAAATGGGGTGTCAAACTCAAATTCATCGGGGGCCGCATCAGCAGTTTGGTCACCCTCAAAGGGCCGGTTATATCTGTAGGACTATGTGTCCACTTTTTATTATCATAAATTATTGTCACTGCATTCAATTATTACATGGGCAGAACGTGTGTATGGGGGGCAGTACGTGTGTTTGGGGGGCAGTGTGTGTGTATGGGGGCAGTATGGGGGCAGTGTGTGTGTATGGGGGCAGTGAGTGTGTATGGGTGGCAGAGCGGTGTGTATGGGGGGCAGTGTGTGTATGGGGGGCAGTGTGTGTATGGGGCAGTGTGTGTATGGGGCAGTGTGTGTGTATGGGGGACAGTATGGGTGTATGGGGGCAGTGTGTGTATGGGGGCAGTGTGTGTGTATGGGGGGCAGTGTGTGTGTGTAGAGTGTGTGTGTGTGATATAAGGGTAGGGGGGGCTTTTATATATTATTTATATATAATTTTAATTAAAATATATATTTATGTCCCCCCTCCCGTCTTACCTTTACTGGGGGGAGGGGGTACATTTCCCTGGTGGTCCGGTGGGGGATTCATTGGTGGTCCCAGTGGGGAGAGTGAACTCTAGCCCACGCTCCAGGGCTAGAGTTCACTCTCGCGAGATTTGGAGCGTTGCCGTGGTAACCGTGGCAACGCTCCAACTCCCGCGAGAGGAGGACCCGGAGGAGCTGCAGCCTGAGCTCCGGGTCCTCTATCTCTCCCTCCCCCGCCGGCTGTCAGCACTATCACCATCTGTGATCTCCCCTCCGGTCCGCAGGCACATTGCTGGGCTGGCAGGAGAGGGAGACCGTCGGTATTCTCGGGGGGGGGGCAATTGCCCGTTGCCCCCCCCCTGGATCCACCACTGGGCTGGCGGCCGGCGGCGGCTACACGGGCCACATGACTAGGTCTGGCGGGCCGGGATTCGGCTTTGACACCCGTGGGTTAAGTGATAGAAGTGCACAGACCTAAATATCATTGCCATATAACAAATTCTCCATCGATGATAAATATACATTATTGTTATCTATTTAAATTTTATGTAGATTGAAAGGATTAAAAACAGAATTGACCCTGCAGGGAACAGAATCTACAATGTGTGGCTCATTAGTAACTTCCCTTCCCATTGTCAAGTTCCCTTTACACGAGAGATACAGCAACCTCGGATGATCATTTTGGCCTACTTTGGACCTTGCCAGCAAGGTGTACCTGATTCCTCTCTAGGCACAGTGAGCACGGAGTTCACATCTGGGTCACTAGTATTTATTCTATATCAGAGTAAAGACATTTTATAAGATGTTGACTTTGATACCAGCACCACGTTAACATATTCAGTTGAGTGTCAGCAGCACCAATTTAGTTTCCATGAGAAATAAAATCTGATCAATGGATATTTACATGATTGAGTGGGAACTAGAGTTGGGATTATATGTCACAACTAAACAATGGTGTATATAGGGAAATATAACACTTACAAAGCATTTCTTAAAACATTATACATTGTGTTATTTATTGTTACATTAATAATTAATTGGCTCCGCTGTAGGGTGGGGCGGACTTTTTTAATATAATAGCCCTCACCCGCTCGCGACACATGGGTGTACAGTTACCTGTCCACCCATTTTCCTTAATTTGAAGTCCACACCTAATGCCCATAGGGCCCTTTATGTTAAAAGTGACAGTGCAGCCCATACACTAGTCTTTTTATAACAGCAAGCAAATGCCAGCTGTTAGGCAGACATGCCCCAACTTGCAGCACAGCGAGTGGGGACATGGAGAGAAAATAAGCCTCACTTATACTAATGACCTCCACAGGCTATTTCTAACCATTTGCCAGTTGGCTACTAGTGCAGTCAGCAGGCAAATAGTGAAAGAGCATTTATCAACACCTACTTGCTGGCAAAATTTTCAAGGCTATTTATCGAGGATCATGTCCTCAATAAATGGAATTAAATCACCCAATCCAATATTTTCAATGCTAGGTATATTATCCATTTCTATATTTTTTCAGAAAATCTATATTACCCAACAATATTTTTCAGTTCCCGATAAGCCTCTAACAGCAGTAATTGATTCAAACCAATAAAAGGCTTATCGGAAGCCAATAAACTGGTGATAAATGTAATCACTTGGAATGTAAGCAGGACCATATTTATCAGTACACTGATTTCCATGCCCTTTTGGTTTGTCTAAATCGTCAATTCCTGAATTGTTTGTGTGAACAAAATTTGGTCGGAACCAAAACACTGCATGGATAAAATTCAGTCTGACTAATCAAAATTTTGTCAGATGAATCAATTTGACAATTGTTCACTGTAAACAATTTTGTACAAAGCACTGCTAAAAAATGTATTTTATTTTGTACAGAACTTTAATTTTACAAGAATTTTTGAACTGAGTTGGGGGAAATCCAAATCTTTTTAAATATTTGGTTTGATGAGATGAATGTTAATAGTTATATTACATTGAAGGATCATAAGTTAACATTTAAAATATGTATATATTTAATAATAGAGTGTGTTTAATGAAACAGGATAGATTAAGCTTTTTTCAGTAATGTCCTACGGTACTTATTTTATTAAACTCTGCAGGAGGAGTTGATCAATCGAATTTATAATTCTTTATGTATTATATTAAATGTTTTTGTTTTTATTAAGTTGTAAGTTCGTTTTCTCAAATTTTTTTCCCACTGATAAAGGATAAAATTAAATTCCAGGGTGAGTAACTGATTATTAAAGGGTTATTCCAAGCAGTAGCCATGGTGCTTGGAGTCTGTATACAGACAGACATAAAGAGAAAATGCATTTTGCTGGCAGTGACTAAACTCTACCTCTGAAATTGTCATCTTAGGTGAATGTTTGCTTTTTTTTTTATTTAGGGGGATCATGCCAAAATTGTTTAGCACTACAGAAAAAATACTGTTTTTGGTCAGAGTAATTCGTTATAGTATTCTAACTTTTGTCTAGAATTGCGAAACAGTTTTCAAATTGATCAAGATCCAAAGATGACTGACCATTATACTACTGACAACACTGCCTACGTTAGAAAACATTATTGACTTAAAACCATGCCAACTCATGATTTACCTGTTGCACTCACAATGTTGGGCTTGATAGGCTGATATTGTTAGGTGAAAGATAAAAACTGCTGGGGTCTTTGCAAGCTTTTCAGTAGCATCCTAGGTTGAGGGTAACAGACTACCAAGTGCATTGATGTTGCTAATTTTCCAGTAGGACATAGCAGTGCTTTGTGTGTCTTTACGGTTGTTAAAAATGGACGTCAGGTATTGTGCATATGTGCATTTGTTATGTAATTGACTTTGCTATGTTATTTTGTAGTTACAATGCTTATTTGTCCTTTATTTTATGTCCTTTGTTAACATCGGTTGCACACATCATCAAGACAAGGGAGGTTTTGTGGTGTTTGTTCTGCTCATGTGAAAATATTTATGAATATTATAAATCTTTGGGGTTACTGGTCAGTTGTTAGATTTATTTAAAGTCCTTTTTGGTGTTGAATTTACCATGTGTCTGATGATTCAGGTCTCATAGTTTTGTTTAATTTAAACTTTAATTATGTAATATGATGTCCAGTGGCAGCACTATACAAACCAAATGTTTTTCATCTACCATCATGCTAAATACTAATACTGAATCACATTGGTTACCGGGTCTACACTGTTCTGCATTGGGTATTACAAATACCTACCTGTTAAGCGTACAACCTCCTCTTTTTGTAAAATAATCATTGAACATACGGGTGGAAAAGGTATCACAATAGAAATTTGTACATACATCTATTAACTAGAAGCATGGTTTGTATGCAACCTGCATGTCTAGACAGATGATAAAAATGGCACACTGGACACTGCTCCATCCATATTTACTTTTGATCTTTTACCATATTATTTAGAGAGTGTACTCATATTTTACCATTTAACACATAAATTGGTATAAGGGCCAACTATTACCTCTCTTTTCTGGACCGGCATGTAAGCGTTGGCATCCCAGTTGGCTGAGCATCTCTGAAATTGAAGTTCTCAAACATCTGGATTGTCTTAACCAATGTCTTAGCCAATGGTTTTTAGACGTTTTTGCATGCATCTTTCTGACAATAGCTGTTCTCCTTCAGAGTTTCAGAGACAAAGTGGAAACCAGTCAAGCGTTGCAAAAATATTAAGGTGACTGAGTGTGATATAACCTGTCATCTTAAAGAGTATTATTCCAATTACGATATTAGGATCCGAACCGTCTCTAAATATTATATTTCTTCATGGATAAACAGCGAGAAGATCTCATACATGTTTACAGGTGAGTCTTTAGAAACTACCTAACATGGTTATCTAGCAGGGTTATTCAAAGTAAATTTCAATGTAGCTGAAATGAAAAAAATAGAATTTTGAAATTACCTTTGGCATTCCCTTTAATTCCAGATAATTCTCACTTTAGTGAATATACTTAATAGAGAATTGATATAGTAAATAGATTTAGGGAAACTGATAGGATAGTACAATTCTGTTTTTATCCATTCATTAATGAAGAATGATGTTACGATATCATGGGATTTGGTCTCAAATACCTGCATGAAGGGATAAAAATAAATATATTTCATCATAAAATGCAAGATGGCACCAAACACTAGTTTATCCACTTATTATTTCCTGCCTCGGCCACTTTAATACCATGCTGCCAGGCTGTCTTCTGAATTTCCCACTTTGTTTCAGTATCGGTGCTTCCACTGGCTGTTTTTTCTTTCCCCCCAACATTAAAATGTATATTTTAAACTGACTTGGACACCTTTTGCTCCAGTTTGGTCCAGAAAAGTCTTCAGTTTTTTGGGTATATTTGTGAAATATAATCTAAGCTTAAAGTAGCAGAGTCTAAAAAAATATCTATTTTGGCCTACACATTTAAAGCTGGCTTATTTAATAAAGTGAGAATTGTCAGGAATACAAAGTGAAATTCCAATATCAGGCCAAAGTACCCGAACTGGAAGCATAGTTAATTTCAAGAAGTTTTTCACTTCAGTTACTTTGGCCTTAAACTTCAAATTCTATGAATTCCTGACAATTCTCTCTTTAGTACAGGTAAATATACCTGTAGATACACACAAACATAGTCATACTCAGACATGCCAACAAGCTCTCACACATGAAAACATGCACCCATTTATGTTCGTGCATACATCAGTGCACCCAGTTACATTCATGTACATACACATTTTACATTTACCAACATATGTTGGAACATGGAGAAATGCTCCATCTCAAACTGCAACATAAAAACATGCCTTTATTCCCCAGCATATGAGGAAACATGCCTACCATTTTGCATCATGCAAATGGCAATCAAATAAAGAGTTTGTAGGTTTCATATCTTTAAAAAAAAAAAAAAAAAAAATTTGGTCACTCGGCATATTATAAAGAAATATGTTAATTGGGCTGTTGTCCTTAGAGTTCGCAAACAGTGGTAGAGACATAGTTAACGGTTTGTGCACATCAGCATGCAGTGATTTTTTTTTTTTTGGAACCAGTTAGTCAATAGGTATAATACAATGAGGTAAGCCCCACTGGGCACATTAGTAGGTACATTCTGCAACAGTATGTCTCGTATATGCTTAAGTGCTCCATGGGGTAGCCCCCTCCAGGGGTTTATATCAGTAAGTTATCTTAGCTCTATTGCGGATAGTGAGGGGGGCGGGGGGTTAAGACGGAGCAAGTTCTGGTATTAGCATCCCTAACACATGGTCGCACGCGGTTTTATATATTTGATCGGTCTCTTATCATTTATACATTTGTGTCAGCATTTACAACACATTGGGGTTAAATCACTAAATATCAAAATGTAGTGGACAGCATTTGAGCAAGGAATGTTAATACCATGATGTGTATATACTGCTTTTATTTTGCAGTTGATCCTGACCCACCAATATTACAAATAACACACGTGGACAAAACCATGCATATTAATGCAACTTTAAAGAAACCGGCTTGTATTAGGAATTATGAATTTGATGTGAAGTATGTTTTAGAGATCTGGAAGATTGGGAAACCTAATGAGGTACAGAACTTAGTTAAATTAATTTTATTCGGTTAAACATCTTTAACAGCAGTGGAAACTTAAATGCTTATTTTACCAAACAGAACTTAACTTTGATATTGTATTTTAACGGATAAAAGAATATTAGCTCAAAAAACATCTACTTGTCAATTATTTTCTTTTTTCTGAATACAAAACACAATCACTGCAGTGGCTGTGGTACTAGAACTTCCCTGGTGCCCTTCCAAGGGAAGTAATCAAACCTTTTTCAAATCATTTGACAACTTACCCGAAGACCACTGGTCGCCTCTTCCACTGCAACCAGAAGTTCTCTGCCCTCTATGCATGTGGGGACTGCTGGACAGAAATGCTTAGATGCCTTTCTGTCCCTGCTCTAATCCTAAATCATGTTCACCGCTGCTCTGGGGTCCTTAGGCACTTCCAGGGACAGCCCTGCATGGCAGCTGCCCTTTTGGATTGATCGTGAAACTGATACAGGTGCCATGCGAGCGAGTGGGACCAGCAGAGGTCAGGACCACCATGGCCCGACCTTCTTGATAATGTGCATGCCAAAGGACAGGTACTACTACCAGGCAGCATTGTTAGTATGTTTGTAAATGATTTTATTACATTCCTGGCACCATAACTACTACAGAAGAGTATAGTGTTATGAGTCTATGGTTCAATTTTGGATTAGTTTGGCTAACCATGGCCTTTCCATAGCACCCATTACCAGTCTGATCGCAAATTCAAAATGGGATGAAATCAATGGAAGAGACTGAGAGACTGCCATAGAAGAAAGAGCAATGAGAACCAAAGTAATTTTGTAAAGATGGAAAAAGACCATGAAAGAAGGATAGTGAGAGCAGTTAAAAAACATGGAGAAAATGTTGCAATGGAGAGATAGCAATAGAAGTTTGAGTTAGTGTCCTTATTCACGGATAGTATTCCTAGCTCTGTACAGAAACTGAATGGTAAGTAACAAACATGGGCAATGTGTTGATTGATCACACACCATCTAAATATTATTTTTAGTGATCCCGTAGAATGGCACAGTAGGTCTACAATTATTGTACTATTCATATTACAATGATCTAACAAGATATATACTACACCTGTGTAATATGAAAAGAATGCATATTATTGACTAATAACAGTTTTTTTTTTAGATATAATAAATGATGAGTTAGTTTGTAATTATCACATTGTCTTTAACAGAGCATACTGAACATTACGACAGACAACTCCATACTGACACAGGAAACTACTGGACTCATAGGGACTTACTGTGTAGCTGCCCAGACAATATATCAGGTGGATCGGAAAAAACTAAGCAAGTTCTCGAGTCCAATATGCCAAGTATTTGAAGGTAAAATTCTTAAAACAGATTCTCATGTTGGCAGTTGACTTTGAAGAAAGGAGGGCTTATAAGAAATATGACTTATGTCTGTGTCATTCTAAAGTAAACTAAAGAAAACTTGCAGTTTTGTAATAGTTTTTTTTTTTTTAAATAAACAATAGACTTGTGCATGACTTGACGGCCTGTTACTTGGAAAATACTGGGGGTCCTCCCCATGCCCCCTTCAATTAGCATTGGGTGGGAGCTTAAAATTAAACAAATAATCCACCACCCCCTCCATGGACTTAGGGTGTGAGGTATAAGTAAAATAAGGAGATATACTATAACATTTGAGCCCTGGCTGCTAAATTTCCCCAAGACTCCTCCAAATAAAAAATGCCCTACCTGTCCCTCACCACCCCTCACTGGAAACTGACATTTCAAGCTGGGAAAAGGCCTCCACCTGCCGCATGGTCTGACTGCTCCATGCGACCGCGCGGCACACTGAGGGAGACTCACCTCCCTCTAGCCATGCAGACCTCCTCCTGCTGCGTGGTCTGGCCGAACCACGCGGCAGAGCATCTAAAAAATAGATGTGGACCTGGATTCTTTCATTTAGCAGTGCTGCTTAGTTAGCATGTCATAATACAAAAGTGAAAACAATATGCCATTGTTATACATATAGGTAGCAGTTGGGTGATGGTATCTATGCACTGTTTTTTGTTTTTTTAACAAGTAATAAACGGCATGGAGATGCCTGAAGAGTCTGTTAGTTAGGGTCTGTGTGGGTCGGTGTATAGATTCTCAGCTTCTTAATTATTGATATGCTTGAGTCTTGCCTTGCGGGACTAAGGTGTGTGTATAGCATATCTGCTGTCAACGCCAGTCTACTTGCCCCAGTGTCTGGGGTCTGTGTGGTGAGGAGATGAGCTGTTAGGAGGTGTAGCTCGGGTGAGATCCTGAAAGAAAGTTAGTGAGGCATCTTCGAATGTAAGTGGCATTTTGCCTCTGGCTGCTGCCATGATCTGAGTTTGGTCGTGGTGTGTCAGGCATCGCAGGATGACGTCTCTGCTCATGTTGGGAGAGGATTTGGGTGGCCCTGCCACCCTGTAGGCTCCGTCGATGGTCATCTTCTTTGCGGTTGTGTGTGGTAACAGTGTGCCCAGTAGTCTCGGGAGGTAATGTGGCAGCTCCTCGGAGGGTATATTGGCTGGAATGCCACGTATTTTTACATTATTCCGGCGCTGCCTGTCCTCCATGGATGTCATTTGGAGTGACAGGGCCATTTGGGCATTGTGTATTTGTTGGAAAGTGTCCTACATGGTGGCCATGTCTGTCTGTACCACCGTGATGTTTGTTTCCAAGGTTTGTACTCGGTTTGTAACCGCCTGGATCTCTGTCTTGAGGTGGTTAAGGTTGGCTGTTCAGACTCTTTGTATGTCTGTTAATAGGGTCCTTAGGTCTCTTTTTGTGGTTGGAGCTGCACCTTCGTCCGGCTCTGTGTCATAAGTTGCATGCAATGGTAGGGGTTGCTGTTGGTTCCTTGTTGTGGGGTGCTGTAGCCTTGTTTGCATTGTCCGCAGGGCTTGTTCTGCTTTGTGTTGGTCGTTGTAGCATGGTGCCTAAATCCCTGCCTTTGGGGGCTGTGTTAGGCTTCTGGAATCTACGGCCCATGTTTAGCTCGCGTTCTGGCAGGGTGGGCGAGTCTGGCTAGTCCGCGGAGTATGGCTTCCAGTCCAAGGTGTGGTGGCGGGAGGTAGGCCTTGGTCTTGTGGCGCTGCCTAAACTGTTTGTGGCCGGTTTGAAAAAAGGCATCTAGTGCTGCAGCCCGGTAAGTAGAGTCTGGGTACCGTGTTTGGTAAACCGTGTTTGGGATTACAGGTTATTTTCCTTATTTTAGCGGCTGATTGTGGGGAGTTGTTGAAGATGGCAACTGATCGGGTTGCTTGCTAGCTCCGCCCATGCCCACTCTTAAAGTGACCACGTCATCATTGCAATCCTAATCTGTTTTGGATCGCAGTGATGACGTGGACCTATCGGAACATAGGTAAGCCTATTTTAGGCTTATTTTGGCCCCCATTCATTGCCCTATTGTAGTTTCTGTTAGATCTTCGTTTAGTGCTCCTAGAGATTCCATTGGAATTTCCTGTGTTTGTCCTCGGCTTCGTATTTGACTTGTGATTTCTGGTATCCTGACCTTGGTTTCATATTTGACTCGTGATTTCTGGTATCCTGACCTCGGCTTCATATTTGACTCATAATTTCTGATATCCTGACCCTGCTTTTTCTTGACTCGTGATTTCTCGTATCCTGACCTCGGCTTCATATTTGACTCATAATTTCTGATATCCTGACCCGACTTTGTATTGACTCTGAGTATTTCTGTTATCCTGACCTTGATTTATTCTTGTTGTGTTTATAAGTGAAGTCCGGCCATTCTAAGGCTCGGTAATACGTCTTTTGGATCCACCTTTTGTGGATTTCCTGTTTCCTGCGTGTTGGGGTACGACTCCCCTGACATTACGATAGGGCCATGACCCTGCAGGGTTGGGAGCTCCACAAAATCCTTGCCAGGCTAAATTTAAGGGAAATGTACCACAGAATGGACCAATTCACTCAGGCCTTGTTAGCCAGAACAGTCCACCTCTCTTCCACCTATGCCTACCCAGCCTGTGCCTGTGGTGATTGAAGCTTGACACAACCTTCTAGATATAGATATGGTTGCGATCCTAAGACCTGTCGAGGGTTCATAAACCAGATAGAGTTTAATTTTGAAACGTCTCCCAGGTCTTTTCCCACTGAAAGATCCAAGGTCATATTCTTTATGCACCAGTTAACCGACAAGGCCTTGGAATGCCTAATCCTTTATGGGAGGCATTATTATTACAAGATCTATGTAAGAGCCTTCCTTCAAGCGTTTTCAAGCGTTTGATCCACCTGGCAGAGAGAATAGTGCAGCTAAATCTTTCATAAGGATTAAGCAGGGAAACAGATCTATAGTGGATAATGTGTTTATTTTCTGCACTCTTGCTTTTGAGGTTGATTGGACCAATAGTGGTTTGGCTTCTGCGTTCATGGAATGGGTTAATGATAACATCCTTGATGAGGTGGCAGCCAGAGATCTTCCAGTCCTTCTAGATGACCTTATCAATTATGTAATCGGCACCCCTAGGGCCTCAGTTCCTTGATGTTTCTTCTTCTACAGATACTGAGCCCATGCAGCTAGGTGTGACCAAATTGTCTGAGATTGAGAAACAGAATAGGAGAAAAGAGGGGCTCAACCTATATTGTGGCCAGAAGGGGCATTTTAGATTGACTTGTCCAGTGCGTTTGGAGAACTGTCACACCTAAGGTCGCTCAGGGGACCGGCTTTGGATGGGACATCAGAATCCCCTTTAGTGCCTCATAAAAGATGACTTCTTCCCATCACCTTAACTTGGGGTGAGAAGTCTATAGATGTTTTAACGCTCGTAGATTCTAGAGCAGCTGATAATTTTATAGACCGGGGTTTTGTCAGGACCCACTAACCACCCCTAAGAAAGGAGACACGCTTGGCTGTTGAGGCCGTAGATGGTAGACCTTTATATTCTCCATTAATCACTCATAAAACAGAACAGTTGACTATGCGTTCAGGTCTGTTACACATGGTGGATTTGTGTTTTCAGGTGATCACCTCCCCTTCTTCATCAATCGTACTGGGTTACCCTTGGTTACGTCTACACAATCCAACTATTGATTGGAGACAGGGTGAAATCAGCTCATGGAGTGATACGTGTCAGGAGAAGTGTATAAAAAAGGTCACTCCTGTTCGTCTCATTAATGTTCCTACTGCCCCACCACGGTCTACAGACGTACCATCCTCTTATGTACACCTGAAATCAGTTTGATAAGAAGGAGGCAGACAGATTACCACTTCATAGTCCTTATTATTGTGCCATAGATCTCCTATATGGTACTATGCCACTTAAAGGAAGGGTTTATCCCTTGTCTTCCCATGAAAGTATCATCATGGAGGATTATATTGGCGATTCACAAGCGAAGGGTTTTATACATAGATCTTCCTCTCTGGCTGGGGCTGGTTTCTTTTTTGTACCCAAAAAAAGAGGTGATCTAATGCATAGACTATAGAGCGTTGAATAAGATCACAATCAAAAATCCATATCCTATTCCCCTTATCACTGAGCTTTTTGGCAGGCTAAAAGGGGCTTCTGTCTGGATCTGAGGGGAGCATACAACTTGGTACGCATTAAAGAGGGGCATAAATGGAAAATTGCCTTTAACACCAGAAGTGGGCATTATGAAAATGCAATCATGCCTTTCGGCCTATGTAATACTTCGGCAGTTTTACAAGATTTTATCAATGATGTCCTCAGAGACTTCATACATTAATTCGTGATAGTGTACGATATTCTGATATTTTCCCCTGACCTAAGTACACACATCACATACACGTATCCAAACATTTTTCGACAATGGTTTCTTTTGTACACTAGAGAAGTGTTTGATCAAACAGAAGTCCATTTTCTGGGTTATGTCATCTCAGCCTCTGGATTCAGTATGGATCCCAAGAACTTCTCAGCCGTTGTTGAGGGGCCTTTGCCTCAGGGCTTAAAACCTATCCAAAGGTTCATAGGGTTTGTCAACTATTATAAGAGTTTTATAAAGAATTTCTCTACCATTATTGCCCCTATCACGAACCTCACTAAGAAGGCTGTGAACCACTATGTTTGGCCCCCTGAGGCATGGGAAGCCTTTGAGAGCCAGAAAAAAGCTTTTTTTCTGCTCCTATCCTCAGACATCCTGACCATTCACTTCCATTTGTATTAGAAGTTGATGCTTCTGAGGTAGGAGCTATTCTGTCCCAGCATTCGTCCCCTGACTAACCTTTGCACCTGAGTGTTTTCTTCTCTAGGAAACTCTCGCAGGCGGAAAGTGTAGTGGACCACGGGTAACCCAACTGGTTACCTTCGCTAATTCCTTCACTCAGCCACTCTGGAGCCATAAAAACATAGACATCCAGTCCCCCAGTAACGAATCATAGCTGATTTATTTTCGACTACACACGGCTTTTGTGCACAGACGCCTACATGTAGTCTCCAATACAATAACACAGGGGTGTCAATCCCAAGATCCTCTGTGAGAGATAATTGCGTGCAAAAACCCTATAATTCAATTTTACCACATGACAGGAGGCTTCGTATTTCGCATATCTCTCGTTACTAACTCCATACAGCAGTAAAGAAACACATAGAAAAAAGAACCAATCACAGGAGAGCAGGATGTACATAAGGCAATGTGACCTCATCATTTCCTCTTTCTTTATTGCTCCATCAAGCAGACAGGACAGAGTATTACTCTTCTCCATTACTTATGTTTACAGTGCCTCTTTGAGGTTGTTTCTGTATTATATTTTTTTATATACTTTACTGTATGTTCTTGCTGTGCTTCTGTACTATGTGCAGCTGTGTTTTTTCTATGTTATTTCATAGATATTATGTAGATTTAACGTAATCCTTATTTCATAACCTTTAGTTGTGATTAATATCACTTGTAATTTATCCGTTTTATAGGCATTTCATCCTTTGTTTTGATAAGTATTATATGTACTTTATATGTATTTAATAGATGTCATATGTATTTTATGACATGGATTTAATAGGTGTTAGGTGTAAATTTTATTATTGACTTAATAGGTTTTATGCATAGTTATGGTAGATGTACTTTATACCATATCATGACTTTTCTGGCGATTTTCCTGGCCTTCTATACCTGGGGCATCTGGGGACCCTCTTTCCCCATTTTCCTCCTTCTCCCCAGGGTCTCATGGGGATTCTGGGTCTGACTGGGGCTTAACCCCTTCCCTCCTGCGGTTCACGTTGGCTCCCGCCGGCTCCAGGGCATTAACACCTTCTTCCGGCCTATCCGTTCGACCCCTTCCTAATACAACCCTCAGGGGGACGGCCGGACTCACTGCCATCGCTCTCTAAGGCTGCCCCATACCGTACACCCGGTAACGTGCTGGATGCTTTCCAACACCGACTACCTTGGTGCAGGGCAGTCTGTGGGGTGACCACGAGGTAGCCCGAGCATGACGCGGCGGCCTTCTTTGATCCCGCGTCTATTGAGACTCCAGGGACCATGTTTCCCATCCATTACCCTCGGCGGCCATCTTTAGTCTCGCGATATTATGGGCGGCCGTTTTGCTACTCTCGCCCACCATGATTTCGGCGCTCGAGAGTAACATATACCTGGGCTGTCAGCTAGCCTAGCTGTTCTCGTGGCTTGGGGTCCCAAGTTCGAATCCAGGCAAAGCTAAGTATTCTAACTGCCTATTATTTTCAGATTTGAGTCATAGCACCCTCAAATTCCTTAAAGATACCATTCTTGGACCCTTAGAGGGAACTCCTTAAAGGGATACCACCGCGGTACTACTTAAAAGGATACCACCCTGGAACTACTTAAAAGGGATACCAAATCCTTAAAGGGATATCACCCTTGAATTCCTTAAAGGGATAGCACCCTTGGACACAGACTATCAAGATGGTACTGTATAAGTACATATCAGTGATGGGAGATTTGAAGGGATATCACCTGGATCAGGAATCTACAGCAAGACTCTGTCTGGTAATGGATGCTCAAAGGGATGACCCCTATCACTTAGACTACCTGTCAGAACACGACAGATGACGGAGCTTAGAGCTAGTGCTATATCCTATTATCCCTCAGATGTCAGTCACTTTTGTCTCATTACTGCCATATTAGGCACTAAAGGGCTTATTACCCTGTACCTGCCTGGGGTGCTGCCCCTATTACCGTGCTGCTTTTTGGAGGTCTCCCTGTGGCCACCTCTGTGATCCTGGGTGAGGCCCAGTTATACAAATCCCAACATTGTGGTTTGCCCTGCTGGGACAATTTGACAACACTAAGTGACAGATACAGAATACCCTGCCGGGGTTATTACACCTTACTGTCATTTATACAGACCCTGCTGCGGTCCACTGGCATTATTTACACTACAACAGATACCCTGTTGGGGTACCCCATATCACACACCCTGCTGGGGTTGTTTTGATACTTTGAGACAATAAATTGCACACTACTACACCCTGCTGGGGTCTGCATGGTGCATTGCACACAATGAAATGGATTGTGCTCTCATCCAGTCTGTTTTATTTGGCCATGACCCACGCTTGACGGGTACATACCCCGCACACCTGAGGTGATCTCTGACTAGGTATAAGCCAATCTATTCGGCTAAAGAGGGGACAGAGTCGCAAGCTTCAGTGCAGAATATCCCCCATGGCGGTGCATTAATTATTGGAAGAGCTGTAGGACACTCTCTATCAGGCTTATGGCCAGCACTGATGGGTTCATACCCAATGCAACCGGGGTGAGTTCCCTACAGCACTGCTGCTTCTACTCCTACCCCTATCAACAGCGAGCTCGAGGATTGAAAACCCAAACTTTGGAACCGGGGCCCGGCACTTACAGGTTCAGACCCGGTGCTCTCGGGGTGAGACCCCTTCGATGGGGGAGTCACATACCCGACCGAAGGAAGTCTTACGGCAACAGCCTCTACCTACAGCAGAAGGAATACCTCCATTGATAATGAATCATGATACGGTATGGGTTTATGTACTGTACCTATTCTGCGGCCTGCAGTTAAAGGCCCACGCCCTATGCACCGGGCCCGGCTAGGCATGCACTGCACTAAAATGCCTAACAGAGGTATGCAGTTACAACCTCTGAACAGGAATTCCGAGCCGCCTACTTAACGATATATATTCCCCTTGAGGTGAATTTAATAATGGAAGAGGTGACTGACACTCTCTATCAGGGCGATGGCCAGCACTTAAGGGTTCATACCCTGTGCACCCGGGGTGAGCCCCCACTATACGTGCGCTGCACTGTGCTGCTGAGCGGAGGCAATGCTATGGCAACCTCTATGTACTGGGTGAGCACCAGTCTGTTTTATTTGGCCACGATTCGGAATAAGACCCACAAGGTTTTCCAGGAACACTGCCTACTGTCATAGAAGACTGGTCTGTTTGCCCTGCATCCTGTGCCTGAATACTGGTTTGTGCCTTACACAGGGGTATCCATTACTACGATAACCCTATTTGACAACGTTATGCACTCGTGGCTTTGCAGCCTCTTGCTTATAATGTTCATATTCGCTGACGGTCGGACAAACCCATGCCCTTCCTTGCCGGTCAGAATGTGCCTGATGATGAAGATAGGAGTCTCAGCATGGAAATGGACAAACAGGGTCTGGTGCAGGGTAACCACATTATTATTTACACACACAAACACACACACACACACACACATATATATATATATATGTGTGTGTGTGTGTTTGTGTGTGTAAATAATAATATTAAAAAAAATATATATAAAAGATATATATAGTATAAAAGTGGTAAATAATAATATAATATATATGTGTGTGTGTGTTTGTGTGTGTAAATAATAATATTTAAAAATATGTATATATAAAAGATATATATAGTATAAAATTGGTAAATAATAATATTAAATAATAATGTTAAAAATAAATAATAATATAAAATATATATATATATATATATATATATATATATATATATATAAAAACAAAAAATGCTTGGCACTCACCCTTTCTCCAATTCAAAATTTTTGATGCCTTGGTGCAGTCCCATGTTATTTTTTGCATATATATATATATATATATATATATATATATATATATATATGTGTGTGTGATAGGTACTACATGGCAGAAATTTAGCTAGCAGAAGGAAGTGTGCCATGAAAGTACATCTATTGGGGAAGTACCCTATAAGCGGAGTAGGGAAGTCATTGTATTGAAGATTAGAGGATGGGAGGTTAGGTAAGTAGAGATGGGGGAGTTTTATAGTGTGATCTACCCACTCCCACAAAACCATTTTAGCCTTCTTACATACTGTATATATCCCAGACCCACTTCAGCCTGTCTCGGGGTACAAACAGCACATAAAGGAAAGGGAGCTAACCACACAAAAAATATTTCATTGCTTATTGGGTTTTGTAGCAGTATAAAAATAGGAAAAAAGACCAGAGAAGGCTCCAGTACCAAAATACCGTACAATACATTTATTGCCCAAATAACAATTGAAAATCTTACATAAAATCCCTGTGAGTTCAGCCAAAGCAACTCACTAATTGCAATTGCAATTATTCATATAACACCAAAATGTTCTATAGTGCTGTACAATAGGTGAACAAGACACGCATTTAATACAATAGAAACAAAACACATATAACATACAATAGGTGAAGAGAACCTTCTCAAACAAGCTTACAGTCTAAAGAGATGAGGGACCAACACACAACAGGACAGGAGGGAATCAAGTAATCTGAATGTACCAGAGGATGAAACTAGCCCTGCAGATATCTGAATGCTATGGCAGCACTGCAATTGTTTTTGTTCTATGTGTATTGGCTTTATTATTATCTCTCAATTACTTCTCACTAGTAGCAAATGCTACTTACAGATTTCTGGCACGTGAACAGGGGCAGTGATGACCCCCATGTACGCTAATGCCTTTATGATCATCTACAAACTGGAACATATCCTTGAATATAACGGCCATTTGTGTTTGTTATCCTGAGATTTATTCACAATGCATTTATTATATGCTTGATGACCTTTGGTACTAAATTGGTTGGATTTTTGGACTTACTGACTTTCACTAAACAGGGCTGTCTTGGATACACACTATTTAGAAAGAGTACTGACAGGATCTCCTTACTGAGAGCAGCATTCACCCAAAGTCACTTAAAAAATCCAGTAAATGTATATAAGTATATCTGTAGTAAATAATAGTGTAAGATTTTAAGGAAGTTTGAAGAATATTTTCTTTCATGCTATAGTTACCAATAAAGTGAATTATTTACTTGCACATTGCCCATGTGGACTTGCTGCCTCTCTACGTTTTGCAAGAGTGGTTGGAAAATGTGTCTCTGTCTCATTAATTTATCTGCTCCTTATTTGTGAGTGCAACTTTTCCTATTCCTCAGTGTTTATCGATTTGTGAATATGTACTATTTATTTTTTTATGCTTATGTGTACTATAATGTACGTATTTATCATATTGTGTGTCATTATATAATTGCAAGTGAGCACAGCCATAAGAGTGGTAATTTTAAAGGCACTTTATGTTTGAATTATTTATGTAACAGCCGCTTGACTACACTGCTAGCAGTGTGCCTTAAGAAAACAAATCTTCTTCAGTGTATCCTTAACATATCAGTTGGAGTCATCTTTTTTTAGATTATATACTTTATGTGAATATTGTGGTTACATGTGTTTTAGATCAAGCATGTCAAACTCAAAGTCTAGCACAGGCCAAATAAACAAGGTTTAAGGTTTAAAAAAACAACTTAAATTTTCATAGAAACGTAGGTTATTATTTTGAAAAATACAGTATATCAAAAAAAACAACGCACCCCCCTCTACTAAATCCTAGTCCCTCCCCTCTACTAAATCCTAGTCCCCCCATATACAAAAACATAGTCCTCCCTCTACTAAATCCCAGCACCCCTCTCTAGCCAACAAGCAGACTCCACTCACATTGCCGCTGCCAGTGTGCGACTTCAGAGTCTGGCCTCTGGTGTACCCCAAATGGCGCCGTCTGCACCCTGTGCCAAAGCAGATCCTCCTGCTGCTTCTTAAAACCCTGGGAAGGTGGAGCATGTTGCTGTCATGCTGCAATGTGACTTGGCATTGCGTGCCTTCGTGCACCTCCAGGTCCTCCACTGTCCAGCCGCGGCCATCGCAACACTGACTGACACACACACACGATCACTGACAGACACACACACGATCACTGACAGACACACACACACTCTCTGACAGACACACACTCTGACAGACACACACACACATTCACAGACAGACTGACACACTCACTCACTCGTGGCTCGATGTCCATTTTAGGCCGCGAGTTTGACATGCTTGTTTTAGATTGTTATTTATGGAGTATCAGTCAGCTGGTAACCTGGAAAGCTACTTGTGCTGTTTTAGTAGTTTGTTTTTTTTATCCACACACTGAGATGGATTATAAGTTTTTTTGTTCCCTTATTGTCTTTCCCAGAAGCACTTGCTTTGCGTGTTTTTTCTATTTGTTTTGCTATAGTAATTATTGATGTTTGGCTATGAATACTTGCTTGTTTGTTTGATACTTTGTTGCCTCACTGTATTGGTAATTACTTATTGCAACATTGTATTATCTGTCCTTTCCCACCAGTAGAGTTCTTGTGTTCCTAGCTGTTCTTCCAGGTAGGTGTTTAATTGCAGTCACATGTTTTTCTTTGTTTTTTTTTGGTTTTTTAACACGTGTCTGTGTCTGGTTTTGGTTGTACTGTGGTCTTTATAAGCTTGGTTTATCTTGAGAAAGGTCCCTATTAAAAGACCAAAATGTTGAGATTAGATTTTAATAAATGTGTTTTTGCCAAAAGATCTCAGAGCTCTTCTACTATGGATTGCTTCTGTAACCGAAGACTGCACTGAATCAAGTCCTGAGTGTTTTGCTTTGTAGAGGCACATATACATTTATATGCACACAAAGTTATACGAATTGAGGTGGCATGGAGTCAAAACAGGTTCAATTTAACTCAGTCTGTGCTGAGGGAATTTACATTGGCTCTAAAATATGCCATAAAATTCGAATTACAAAGACTTTTTTATATGCAGATTGCACAATATATTGAAAGGTATAGATGTTACTACTACTTTAACTCATTAATTATTTTCCTTTTCAGAAAACAACACACACTGGGGCCTGGTTATAGCGGTTTTCCTGTTTGGTTTCCTTGGTTGTGGTTTTCTTCTGCATTACTACACCTGTAGGATGACTAACGTAGCCAAAACACCACATGCATTGGTAAGAGATCACTCATGTTTGATTTGCTATTTGACTCCTGTGTAGGGAGGGGGCAAGTACAAATGAATTGTCTTTATTTTTTTCACACAAAACTGTCAGATCTCTCTGCTCCCATTGCACATATGATATAAGGGTTTGACAAATGGAGGCTACTGGGGTTGATGGGTGCGACATCATGTATTCATGTAACCTCCATCAGTATAACTTGTACAGCATTAGGGTACGCTCACAGAAATGTGTGCAAGCCCAGGTTATAGATTCTGTTTCAAATACTACTCAATGAGGAACACAACCGTAAAAATAGACACTTTATTAGATAAGTCTACAAAAAGCAAGTATCGCAAAATGCATATCAGATATTCAAAGCATAAATCATGTGACAATAGTACCAAAAAAAGTACCAAAAAAAATTACATCCAAGCAGGAATTATAACAAACAGGTTCATAAGAAACAGAATAACTACTAAGTCATAAAGATACCCGTACATAACAACCCAACAAATAATACAAATTAAACACAACTAATTCATACCAGAAATAACGAGGAGAGGGGAAAAGTCAACCAGCAAGCCCCCAACGTTTCAGCAGAAAAAATGCCTTTATCAAGGGAGCCTGTTAGTTATCTTTTCTGCCTGGATGTAATTGCAGGATTTTGTGCATGTTTTTGTACTATTATCATGTGATTTATGCTTTGATTATCTGTTGTGCATTTTGAGATACCTCCTTTATGTGGATTTATTTAATAAAGTGTCTTTTTAGTTTTATGGTTGTGCTCCTCATTGAGTAGTATTTGTAGATTTATTTGGTCCTTGAGGAATAGGACCTTGTTTGAGTGAGCACCTTGTCTTATCTTGACTTATTTTGTTTTCGGATATTTCCTTGGATAGCATTTGACTGGGTGTGCCTACCTTTTCCTAATTAAAATTATAGATTCTTTTTCACCTGACTCACTGACATTAATGTCTCATCTAACCTGCAGCCATTTGGAAGCATCTCCCCTTGCTCTTAATCAACAAACAAATTGAACTGTAAGGATGCAGTCCACCATCCCTCTCTCCTAGTGAACTGAGGCACAATTGCATCCAGGCCCCTGTGTATGAAGAAACAAAATACCAGCCAGTGTAGTAAAGTAAAAGTGTAGTTTAAGCCAGATAGGTGTTCATGATCTGGTTGTTTCCCTTAACTACTGAGCCAAATGTACACGTTTTGAACAAAACAAAACCTGGCATTTGCGCTACATGTCTGTCCATCCGTAATTCACCTCTTTCATATTAAATTTACCCACACTTATTATATATCATTTTAGTCAGGGGAATAGGGCTTTCATTTAATATCAAATATTTAGCTATGAAACATAATTTAATATGAAAAAAGTGGGAGAAAATAAGAATTTTTTTTTTTTTTTTAGTTCTACATGAAATTTTAACTGTCAATGTCATAATACTGTTTGCTTTTATTGCAATAAAATACACATATTTGTATTCAGCAAAGTCTCACGTGTAAAACAGTACCCCCTATGTACAGGTTTTATGGTGTTTTGGGAAGTTACATTTGAAATTGAAATTCGCCAGATTGGTTACATTGCCTTTGAGACTGTATAGTAGCCCAGGAATGAAATTTACACCCATAATGGCATACCATTTGCAATAGTTGACAACCCAAGGTATTGCAAATGGGGTATGTCCAGTCTTTTTTAGTTGCCATTTGGTCACAAACACTGGCCAAAGTTAGCGTTAGTATTTGTTTGTGTGAAAAATGCAAAAAATTCAAATTTTGGCCAGTGTTTGTGACTACATGGCTACTATAAAAGACTGGACATACCCCATTTGCAATACCTTGGGTGGTCTACTATTGCAAATGGTATGCCATCATAGGGGTAATTTTCATTCTTGGGCTACCATAGGGTCTCAAAGGCAACGTAACCAATCTGGCGAATTGTAATGTGAAAAATATGAAACACAAGCCTTATATTTGACGCTGTAACTTTTGAAAACACCATGAAACCTGTACATGAGGGGTACTGTTGTACTCGGGAGACTTCACTGAACACAAATATTTGTGTTTCAAAACAGTAAAAAGTATCACAATAATATCGTCCGTGTAAGTGCTGTTTGTGTGTGAAAAAGGCAAAAAACTTCACTTTTACTGGCGATATTATCGTTGTAATACATTTTACTGTTTTGAAACACTAATATTTGTGTTCAGCGAAGTCTCCCGAGTAAAACAGTAACCCCCATGTACAGGTTTTATGGTGTCTTGGAAAGTTATAGGGTTAAATATAGTGCAAGCAAATTAAATTCCCTATACTTTCGATATGGGTTGTCAGGCAGTTCCCACTAATTGTAATTAATTAAAATACCCAATTATGTAAAAATATTACATAAATATATATGTAGAATTAATATATGTATATATATATATATATATACACGTATGTGTGTGTGTGTATATATATATATATATATATATATATATATCATTTTTTAAAATATTTTTATTTATATAAAGGTATATATAGTGATATATACATACATATATATTAATGTATATAGATATATATATTCGTTCTACGTGTATTTTGATATATATATATATTAATATCACAATACAGTTAGAACAAAATAACACACATCTATATATTTTTTAATTATGTATTTTTTGTTATTTTTAATTTTTTTACGTATTTACATTTTTTTAATTATATATAAATATATATATATATATAACAATAATTATATATATATTTAATCAGTATCAGTCTACGTGTAATTTGATATTAATATATATAATTATAAATATATTAATAGTAAAATACAGCTAGACAGTGTATGTGTGTATGTATATGTGTGTGTGTATATATATATATATATATATACACACTTAGATCATCTATATATATATAATATATATAGATGATCTAAGTATATATATATATATATATATTTTTACACTTATTTTAACTTTATTTTATTTAATTTCCAGCCAGCAGGGGACTAACTGTCTTAACAGGCAGTCCCTCTGCTGGCAATGCAGCAGCCAGCTAACCCGGCCATGTGATTGTGAGGTCCTCGCAAGGACCTCACTCTCACATGGCCAGGGGGCGGGAGGCAGGATCCTCCGTGGAGGACTCCCTGGCATCGCCGGCGACCGGGTAAGTAAGAAAAACCAGAGGGCATACTATTACGTCCTGTGGCGTTTAGAGCCGCTTAGAATAGGGCGTAATAGTACGCCCTCCGGTTTTAAGGGGCTAAGTATTATGCTATGGGGATCAGACATCCAAAAACATGATATGTTATCATGTTTGTTAGAATAGATAATTTCCACCCAGTACATGCGAATATTACCCTATATATTCAAATCAGTCCCATTGTTTGCTGTTTTTCTTGTGAACTAACACACAATTATCACTGATTTAACAGAGAGGCTTATCATATGGAGGTCAATGCTTTAGATCTACACAATCCAATATTCCCAGGCTGAAGAAAGACATTAGACTAGATTGGGGTAGGCAACCTTCGGCATTCCAGATGTTGTGGACTGCATATCACTTGCCTTGCCAGCGGTATGGTTGTAAGAGCATTATGGGGGACGTAGTCCACAACATCTGAAGTGCCAAAGGTTGCCTACCTCTGGAATAGATTCTCTTGGAAGAACAATGGTTTTCTCTGCTTACTAAATATTAATTTCGTTTTCCCATGACCTTTAATGGAGGAATTGCTCAAGCAGGGTAAATTCTTACTCTGCTCAGACTAGCCAGCCCATGTTGTTTATCTACATAAACTGGAATGTTGCTTTTTATTTACAGGTTGCAGAGACTTGGCCTTTTCTTTGAATTTTTATATATATATATAAATTTAGTAAATCTCACAAAACCAATTTTCTTAGTTTTTAATTTTGTTATATTTTCTTCTGCAATGCCCAATTCAAATCTGTATATTTTCATCATGCATTTGCAACTTTTCCATTTTCTGTATCCCATCTATTTTCTTTTATTATACCTGTCCCTTATCTTCCTACTATTATTAACTCACCACTATAGCTATATAACTGTGTGAATCATACTTCATTTTATAATACATGCTCCACATCCTATCTGCATGTCCCATTTGGGGGTTATTTCCAATAAATAGAAAAAATGGTATGAAATAGACACAAATAGTACCTGGTAGATGCAATCTAGTTGGAAAGATGGGGATATTGAATAACAAATTAGTAGCAGCTTATTAAGTTTATACAAATGTATCCAGTGTCTCAGGCGGCTTTATTGAATACAGGCCAATTAGGCCAATTAGATCACTGGCTTTAACAATAGTTGCTACTAAATAAAATTGGGGAAATGCAAATGAGGAGGTGTAAATCTTTGATGGCTGAATCCCCCTCAGTCCCACTTGAATAAAATAATTAAAGTAGTATAGGCTGCAATAGTATAGGCTGCAATATCTGGATAGTTACTAATTAAATATAGCTAATACAAGTGGAGATATAAGAAACAGGGGGGAACAAAAGATATCTAGAATTGAAAATCGTGTTGCAACATTTTGACCAAAATAGCTGCATTGTTTTCCATCTTGACTACTTTGGATTCAGTTTTTGTAATTCAGTGTTCAATTTCTCATGACATAGTTGCCAACTGTCCTGTTTTTGCCAGGACTGTCCTGGCAAGTTGGAGATTGTCCCGGGTAATTTACTCTTCTGGGACAGTCCCGGCACCCCCCACCCCCGCACTGTGTTTGCTGACCGCCATTGGCAGTATCAGTGTCTATCAAGATTCAGGAGATGTATGAGATGTGCCTACTCACACTGCTCTGAGGAGAGGAGCCTGTAGTGGGTGGGGCGTGTGATTTCCCTTCCCATCATACCCTGCTAGAGATTATCGAGCCGGGAGAGCAGTGAGAGGCACTTTCCATCCACTTACACCACCAACGGTAAACAGCAATGTTTTATTTTATATTTTATTATGAAATAATTATGTATTTAGAATAGAGCTCCACTGAGCTAAATCTTATAGTTTCTGTGGAGCTCTGTTTTATTGCTGCCACAGTGCCACCTTATTTATATTCCTCTTATGTATTCCTCTCTCCCCATCACTAACAGCCATCCCCCTTCCCCACATCACTAATAACCACCGCCCCTCTTCCCATCACTAACAGCCATCCCACCTCTCCCCATCACTAACAGCGACCCCCCTCAACCCTCCATCACTAGCAGCCATCCCCCTCTCCCCATCACTAACAGCCACCCCCTCTCTCTGTTACTAGCAGCCATCTACCCTTTCCTCATTACTAGCATCAATCCCCCTCTCTCTGTTACTAGCAGACATCCTTCTCTCAACCCTATCACTAGCAGCCATATCCTTCTCCCCCACTACTAGCAGCCACCCCCACCCCCACTCCCTTCATCCCTAGCAGCCATCCCACTCTCTTCCCAATCACTAGCAGCCATCCCCCTCTATCCCACCTCACTAGCAGCCACCCCCTCTCTTTTTCCCTCCCATCACTAGCAGCTATCCCCCTCTCTCACTCTTTCACTAAGATCCATCCTTCTCACTACCCCATAACTAGCAGTCATCCATCTCTCTCCCTCCCATCACTAGCAGCTATCCCCCTCTCTCACTCATTCACTAAGATCCATCCTTCTCACTACCCCATCACTAGCAGCCATATCCCTCTTTCCCCCCAGCACTCTGTATGTCTTTTTTCTGTATGTCTATTTATGTTCGGGTCGGTCTCTGTATGACTGTCTCTGTATGACGTGTCCGTATGTCTAAGACAAAGGGGCAAAATGGGGTAAGACAGCATATCTTCTGTGTGTATGTGCCTGCTAGTGAGAAAGCTTGTGTGTGTCACTGAGCTTGTTTGCAGGAGCTTGTGTGTCAGTGTACTGCTATGTATTTCCAGTCTGACCCCGTTAGTAAGTGTGCTGTACTTACGAATCACTTTCTTTATCTCGGAAAGTCATGTGACACCCATGCAGGTCTATGTGAGCTGCCACTCACATCAGTCTGCATTGCCACGCGCATGTGGGGCTGATGTCGACAAGTACTAGAAGTCTAGAGATTGGGACATGGGGTATGTGCTCAGCTATCTGTATGATACTATAGTGTGTGTATAATAACCCTTGACAGTCAGTGCTCCCTGTATAGTGCTGCTCTCTGTATAATACAGGTGTGTGCATAATATAACGGGCCAGTCAGTGCTCTCTGGGCCACTATAGTGCTCTCTCTGTATGAAAACAGGTCTGAGTATAATATCCTGGGACAGTCACTGCCCCCTGTATAGTGCTGTTCTCTGTATAATGTAGGTCTGTGTGTATAATATCCAGGGACAGTCAGTGCCCCCTGCATAGTGCTGTTCTCTGTATAATGTAGGTTTGTGTGTATAATATCCAGGGACAGTTAGTGCTCTCTGTATAATGTAGGTCTGTGTGTATAATATCCAGGGACAGTCAGTGCCCCCTGCATAGTGCTGCTCTCTGTATAATACATGTATAATACCCGCAGACTCCTGGAACTAGAGGAATCAGAAGCAGTGGAGTGGTGACTGAAGCCTCAATCTGAGACATTTAACATGTTGAATTGGTGGCATGAAAAGGGGCTAATGGAATATGTGCATGTGTTTTCCTTGTGCTCCCATTTCTCTAATTAATTCCATTCTGTAAATTCTACTTCTATATCTTTCATTTCCTATTTGCAGCTTTTTTTTTTTTTTTACTATATTCACTCCCCAATATAATTATTTTTGTGAATCAATGTATGTTCTGTGGTATAGATAATGACATATAGCTCTCTGACTGAAGCACATCTGCACAAGGTCTTTCTATATTTGTACTTGTACTTTGTGTCACCACTGATACCCAACTCCCCTAAAAGTGATAAAATGTACCTGCCTGATTTAGATGCTGTGCTGTGCCAAGGATGCATGGTACTGTTGGTGGGAACTTGGTGTTATAAAGGTCTACTCAATAAAGAGAGAATTGCAGGGAATGAAATGGGAAACTTTAGGCCGAAGTAGTGCAGCTGCAAGGGATAATTTTTCCAACTCAGCTACTTTGGCCTTAAGTTTGAAACTCCCATCTCAATTCCATGTAATTCTCTCTTTATTGAGTAGACACTATAAATGGGCAGAGATTAGTTATGTGGGTTAGACAGAGTAGGAGGAGCTTTGCAGCAGTAGCTGTGGCAAATTTTCAAGGTAATAATTTATAGCTGTGCTGCAAAGTGTCCCTGGAAATAGTTTTTCAAATATTGGCAACTATGTATGACTCACTTTTTAGTGAAGAAATACCTTTTGTCCCTTATTCATCCTTATTGATCCATATTCATATGTTTCAAACCCATCTCTTGAAAAGACCAGTCCTTAGGAAACAAATTTTGGATTATGATTTAAAGGAACACTATAGTCATCTAAATTACTTTAGCTAAATAAAGCAGTTTTAGTGTATAGATCATTCCCCTGCAATTTAACTGCTCAATTCACTGTCATTTAGGTGTTAAATCACTTTGTTTCTGTTTATGCAGCCCTAGCCACGCCTCCCCTGGCTATGATTGACAGAGTCTGCATGAAAAAAAAAACTGGTTTCACTTTCAAACAGATGTAATTTACCTTAAATAATTGTATTTCAATCTCTAAATTGAACTTTAATCACATGCAGGAGGCTCTTGCAGAGTCTAGCAAGCTATTAACATAGCAGGGGATAAGAAAATCTTAATTAAACAGAACTTGCAATAAAGAAAGCCTAAATAGGGCTCTCTTTACAGGAAGTGTTTATGGAAGGCTGTGCAAGTCACATGCAGGGAGGTGTGACTAGGGTTCATAAACTCCTAAATGGCAGAGAATTGAGCAGGGAGGCTGCAGGGGCATGTTCTATACATCAAAACTGCTTCATTAAGCTAAAGTTGTTCAGGTGACTATAGTGTCCATTTAACATTGCACCATTGTACAACTCTACGGAATTTGCTGGTGCTTTATAAATAATTAATAATAATATATTCATTATATATTTTTTTTAAATCCATGTATGACACGTATTTAGTGGTTGTTAGTAATATATAACCTTTTATTGCATTTTAGTTGTAGTTTAACCTACTGCACCTTTTTATCACATCACTGGTGCTGAGAGCCCTTTTGAACTCTTTATAGGAGTTACATGTACCATCAGCAAAGTCTGTTCAGCTAGGTGAAAAGAAAATTGGCCTTGAAATGTGACCAGCCAAGTCTTTGCATGGGAAGGCAAAGGATAATAATACCAGTACAACATGTTTGCAAAATAAATGTAAGCATTTTATGGGGAGAAAAAATTCTCTCAAAGCTTTCTAGAATAGTGCAAGTCAGTATTCCACGTACTACCACGGGCTGAGTATTTAACCATATCAAAATATGGTTGTTGTGTCCATTATTATTTGCCGGCTTATTAATGAACTGCAGGGAATTTGAAGCCTACTTTATCAGATTTCAGTGATCATTGACTTTGTTTATTACTTGCCTTGATTTAACGTATATATTGTTGTTGTTTTTTTATTCCATAGGATTTTGCAAACTACAAGCCTTTCTTTGTGACTCCAGATGCTACCTTGGAGGACTATGATAAGTTTACTGTGACAGAAAAAAAGAAGCCACATTCCATTATAATTTCACTTTCTACTGGACATACAGGTGTTTACGATGATTACCTATCATGTGGTTTTGGTTACACCGAGAAACATAAAAAAAAAGAATTGCAATCTAAAATGGGAGACTCTACCGGTTACACGCAAGCACCCAATGGAAGCACACTATCATATCACAGTAGTGATAGTAGTTCCTCATCTGATTTTAGCTTTGGAGAATATTCAAGGAAATCAGACCCAACAATTCCTTTAACATTGGATAATGTCAAAATTAAAGGTGAAATAGTTGTTGAAAAGGGGAATCAGCTGGAGATTAGCAATCAAAAATCCAATGTAGAAAGATCTCCAGGAATCTCACAGTTTATGGAAAACCAAGAAAATGTTCCATTAGACTCACTGTGGATAGCAGACCAATGTGCACAGAAGCAATCTTCAGATTGTGAATCTTATGACCAATTCTCCTCAGATAATGAAGACTCCCATGAACAATCAAATGAAGATCTTACCATATACAGAATTTCTGACAGTTTGTACAATACAAGACAGAAACCCAGTAGATGCACTGGCTATGGACAGAGGGGTTATACAGCAAGAGACTGCTGAATGACTAAAATTATTTATTCATATATTGTTCCAGATTGGAACACTGGATAGAAACCTCTGTGAGGTGGAGTTTGACTGACACTCTTATTTAAAAGCTAATTAGTGTTGTTTTTTTTATTTTCTTTGTTTTTAACATGTGGTCATTACACAAGGGTATGCAGGTTAGTGTTTTTAGAATTTTAGTTGTATGAGTGGAAAATAAAAGATGTCATAAATTATTAAAGATATTCAAAGATGATCCAGTGGTGATAATCTTTTCATAAACACAGTTTACTTATTTAATTTAAGAAAAAGTGAGAGAAGCACATGACAAGAAAAAAAAAATGTGTGTGTATGTATGTATGTATGTGTATGTGTATATATATATATATACATATATATATATATATATATATATATTTGTGTAAGGGGCAAAATAGCCGTATATGGAGTAAGGATCCAGCATAAGCTTAGGATAGTGTAAAGGGAGCAAGTCGGTTGTGGTGTGCCGATACCGACGATACGGTAGGCCTGTAAATAAAGAGGGCCCACCAAGGAGTAAGAAAGTAAAGTAAATGGAAAGAAAAGAGAAAGTGTTGAAATGAGGAGTGGGTGGGAGGGTCATTCTGATGCTGACCTCAAGCGATATGAGTCAGGTAAGGGGTGTCCCTTATATAGGGGAGTGAATTAATTTAAGCCCCTCCCACAAATACAGGCAAAACTGCCTTAATACTTGTGTAAGGGGCAAAATAGCCGTATATGGAGTAAGGATCCAGCATAAGCTTAGGATAGTGTAAAGGGAGCAAGTCGGTTGTGGTGTGCCGATACCGACGATACGGTAGGCCTGTAAATAAAGAGGGCAAAATGAATAATCAAAGATTTAATACAGTCAACAAATATATACAAATTAACCAGACATTTCCTTAAATGCATTACAGTATTTAATTCCTGAAAGGATTTTGAAGGTAGGAATCTAGGACCGAAAGTGGGCACCATTTGTTGTGGGTAGGATAGTATGTTATCTCTACTGTTGGTGCATGTTGATTCATTTCGGAATGTGGTAGAGCCAATAGGTAATGATATATGTGTTTACGTACGTGGGATCGTTGAAGACAATGATCTGTCTGAGTGGTGGTGATGGTAGTGGATTCTCTGGCCTGAGAAAGGCATAAAAGGCAATGTGCATGGCTGGTAATGGCCGACTTGGTAGTATAATTGAATGGTTGTAGATCTAATAGGTCCGATAAGGATGAACAGTTGGATGGCTATTGGTAATCTCTGAGAGGAACGTGGGGGAATGGATTCCTGAAAACCATTTGAGTATATTCTTTTCTGGTATGATAGCATGAAGTTTATGGTAGTTTTGGCCATGTGTTGTTGAATGCCTGTAAAATATATAATTAATGGTGTATGAGATAGTTTAAGTTTAAGGTGGCAAAAATAAGCAAAACTTAGGAGAAATTTTGTGACACAGGTTGAGCTATGTCGTGTTCCAATGAGATTCTTTAAGTCAGGTGAAAAGCTGTGTTATGCGTTCTACAAGTATGGGACGAAAGTGCTAGGTGGGATAGTGCATGCTATGCTGCATGAGTATGTCTAATCCATGATTTTGTCTCTGGAACGAAAGAGTGGACGTGACTGTATGGGCGGCTGTAGGAAGCGTATGATGAACATGCCTGGAATATAAATGAGACAGTTGTCGGCAGGGATGTATACCCCCGTCTGGTACATGAAAGTGAAATGTAATAAGTGGCCAACCAAATGAGTTCCCCAGAAACATCATGAACTTATGGATGAGTAGTGGCGTTTGTTGATGATATGATATGTGCTTAGTTGTCTGAGTAACAACGTATTGATGACCCTGATTTACCCCATGCCACAGCAGCTGCTACAATGGGGTAGATCTCCCAAAGGGGCTGAAGTGGTGGAAAAATTTCCAAACCTGGATGCCATGGCCAACAGCCCCAAAGCAATTGTTCCCGGTAGATCGCTGCCAAACCCGTGGTATACGCTGCGTCTGACCATCTAGTTGGAGAAGTGTCAGACAATCCTGGAAGGAACATGCTTTTACCATGCCAAGTGGTTAAGAAATCCCCCCCCCCCATGTGCAGGTCTGCTGTTGCTGAGGTGTCTAGGCACCTCCTCTGATCATCATGTTGGAAGTGTGGAAAAAAGGGGAAAGTACTCTGGATGTGAAAGCGTGGTCTTGTGGTATGATTGGCATGGCAAAATGAAGGAACCTGGTAGGGATTGTAGTTCCTTGTAGTTGTAAGTACTAAGCAGGAGGTAGTGATTGATTTAGTTGAGAATGTTCCCTATTTGTCTTGTGGTAACTTGCGTGTATGGATGCCGACTCAAGTCATATGCCCAGTAATGTGATGATAGTGTCTGCGCCTTCTGTTTCTTATGGGGTACTGGGACGCCCAAGTGGTCAACCAGACTAAGCTGCCATGAGGCTTCTAGTGAAAAATATGCTTTCTTTGAGCAACAAGAAGTCTTCTAGATAGTGTATGACTGCAATGCCTCTGGATATGTTATCATAACCAGCACAGAGTATCTGCGAATATCGATAGTAGGTTAATCTGTAGCTCGAAAGTTGAGCAGGGAAAGGATTGCCCAATTTATGCCATGTAAGTGCCAGTGTGTAGGGTAGATGGTAGCTGTTTACTGCGTTGATGATATTGGTCTTACTTAACCAAGCTTTAACCCATGCTTGAGTGATAGCTGTAAAGGTAGATCAATGGTGTTGTATAGTAAGAAAAATCCTCGGAGGGTATGAGGGAGTTGAGACTTAGGGTAGCGGAGGTGTGTGGTGCCAATAAGTCTATGGTTAGTCTTTGTTTAAGGGAAGATTCCTTGTGACAATACCAATGTGTTTGTGTTTGGTGCCATGCTGTAAATGGTGGAGATTGGAAGACCCCTCTGCAAATCTTGGCTATGAGTGTGTTTTCATCCAATGGTTTTGTTGTGCTGACTGTAAGTGAGGGCATGCTATGTTCCTTGAAGGTGTGTTTATGATACCTGTATGGGAGCCCTTTGAAGCTCCAGAGCTTTAGTAAATCTACTACAAGTCTGGAAGGGTGATGAGTCAGTAGTGTTGAAAATGCATTGGTGTGTACAGATGGTGAGTACGTTATTTGTAAGTTGTATTGGGCCACATGGTTTGTCATGTGCCCTGAACCATTTGAACATATATGCAACAGTCTATATGCAATGCAACTACTCATATCAATGGTCTCTGTTAGTTCAGAGGTGCTGGTACCTGGAGCCTGAGAGTGCTCGTCCATTTGTTTGGGACAGAATCCCTTCTGTATGGGTACCTGCACAAATAAACATCTCTACATATTCCAAATACCAACCCATCCAAGAGATGGTCAGTTCCCGATTTACCTGGAATCCCTGAATCTGACCATCACAGATACATCATCATACATATATATGCCTTGCTTCCCCAATGTGCTGGGATCATACGTGCAGGGTTAACATCTTGTGTGTCATAAGAATTGATTGTACCAGATAACCGAGTTTTGGTTGGTGCTGGTTGTACAGTAACGTGAGGCCCAGCCTTGTGAGGGCTGTGGTGACCAACTCTAAATTTGCCAGTCTGTCATAAAATTTTTTGGCTCATGAGTTTATGAGTGAGGCTAGCATAACCTGGGTGTCACCTGAGTTGATGTAGCTGGGCCTTCCCCTGCCTCCGTGTTGTCCGTTGATGTATGGAGGAGTTTGAATAACTCTGCTTTCCTTGCTGTAGTAGGGTAGGGGATTTGTCACCTCCTTAGGTGGGTGGTAATGTGTGGGATCGTCCAGGATCTGATTGCTGCAGGACTAGCAACATCTCCTCTGCTTGAAGGTGTATCAATTCTAGCCGGGGTGCTAGGAAGAGGTGATTCTTCACCATCTTTTGGAGAAATACTTAAATAACAATAAAGATTGCAATTATTTGTACCCAGGGTTCTTGTACTGGCTTGCTAGCTAAGCCGTAAGGCGAAACGATTAGGCTTGGTGTTTTTTGGTGACTGGTGAGGCCCTGCTAGTTGCCAAGTGGCTTGAGAGGCTCTATCTATGCTTGGCGCGAGGGGATTTTTTGTGGCCACCGAACATTGTGGCAGGATGTTGGCCTCTCGGTGACAGTAACCAGAAAATAGGAAGGGGTGTGACAGGTGAGGCCCTCTCTATGATACAATGCGAGGCGGCTAGCTCACGAGTGGCCCGAGGGGTGTATGCCTCCGAGTGTGAGGCGGGGTGTTGGCCTCGCGGGACCACTAACCGAAGCATAATGCAGAGAAAAAGGGGGTAATACCTATTGGGCCCTAGAACCCTAATTGCCAGTACACTATTACTATTCCAGGGAAGGTAAGAGATGGATAACTACGTGAGCAGGTGTATGTACCTGGTAGTATGGTACTGAACCTGACAATCCGTATAGGTTTTTTAGTAGTAACTGTAACCTGAATGGATAAAACCGTATGGCATAAGGAAATATGGCATAGACCAAGCTTATCTTAATACATACAGTATATGTGAAAAGTAAAGTGCCATGATGTGTAAATATTAAACATCGTAGCCATACTGGTTAAATATGTATCAATCTTAACCCATTAAGTGCCGTATGTACAAGTGAAAATGTGGTCTGTCCCCACCTTGTATGTTGTATGTCCCCTTGCTAGGGGAAAGTCTGTTGCGTGAGCAGCGTGCTGTGAAAAATGTATGTGAACTATATTACCAGTTACGTATATACAGACGCGTCTGCTACTGTGTAATATTATATGTATTTATACCTGATGTTGATATAGTGCTTGCTATGTGAATTGTTTTATGTCTTATTAAATGGTAGGGGTCAGTGAACATGGTGTTGCAAAATGCAAGTGCACTGGAGATCTGCCGAGTGCCCTATAGGTGGCAGTGTAGTTGGATACTGATTGGTATGTGAAATGTTGTTTGTCTGTTGACCTATAGGTGTAAGTGTTTTGGTGTTTGTAAAACCCCATGAAAATTGTCAATGTACTTGACAGACCTGTAGGTGGCAGTGTTGATAGAACCACTGTTGGTCTTGATGTGAAATGTAAATTATTGTGAATTAAACCTGAATTTGAGCCTGTGCTGGAGTTTCATTTATGGTTTATGGTTATGTTTAACCCCTTAAGGACCAAACTTCTGGAATAAAAGGGAATCATGACACGTCACACATGTCTTGTGTCCTTAAGGGGTTAAAACAATCTTATGTGTAATTTATATTGGCTGGTAAATTGTATATGACATGTGAAGACAGTTTTGCTGTTGACCAGTAGGGGTCATAAATGCTGATTGTATGGTAAAAATACCCTTTAATCCTACCGTTTGACAGATAGGAGTCAGTATAAAAGCGAAAATGCTGTAGTTAGTTTGTTTGCTTATGAAGTGAAATAAAGTCTGAGAAGACTGTAGTATACCGATTGACCGGTAGGGGTCAGCATGTAGGCGAAAATGCCGTGGTTCGTTGGTTTGTACATGAAATGCAATAATGTCTGAGAAGCCTGTAGTACACTGAATGACCGGTAGGTGTAAGTGTGTAGGTAAAAATGCAGTGGTTTATTGTTTTGTACACGAAAAGCAATAATGTCTAAGAAGCCTGTAGTACACCGAATGACTGATAGGGGTCAGTATGTAGGTGAAAAATGCAGTGGTTTGTTGGTTTGTACATAAAATGCAATAATGTCTGAGAAGCCTGTAGTACACAGAATGACTGGTAGGTGTCAGTGTGTAGGTGAAAATGCAGTGGTTTATTGTTTTGTACATGAAAAGCAATAATGTCTAAGAAGCCTGTAGTACACCGAATGACTGATAGGGGTCAGTGTGTAGGTGAAAAATTAAGTGGTTTGTTGGTTTGTACATGAAATGCAATAATGTCGGAGAAGCCTGTAGTACACAGAATGACCGGTAGGGGTCAGTGTGTAGGCGCAAATGCAGTGGTTCGTTGATTTGTACATGAAATGTGATAATGTCTAAAAAGCCTGTAGTCCACCGAAAGACCAGTAGGGGTCAGTGTGTAGGTGAAAATGCAGTGGTTTATTGGTTTGTACATGAAAATGCAAACAACGCCTAAGAAGCCTGTAGTACACCGAATGACAAATAGGGGTCAGTGTGTAGGTGAAAAATGCGGTGGTTCGTTGGTTTGTACATGAAATGCAATAATGTCTGAGAAGCCTGTAGTACACCGAATGACCGGTAGGGGTCAGTGTGTAGGCAAAGATGCAGTGGTTCGTTGGTTTGTACATGAAATACAATAATGTCTGAGAAGCCTGTAGTACACCAAATGACCGGTAGGGGTCAGTGTGTAGGCAAAGATGCAGTGGTTCGTTGGTTTGTACATGAAATGCGATAATGTCTCAGAAGTCTGTAGTACACCCAAAGACCAGTAGGGGGTTTAAACGAATGATATGCATGAACATGCAATGGTTTTAGAATAGACTTAGACAAAATGCAGCAGTAAAGTGAGGACCTGACCCTTGCATGGTGCCGTGGGACTGATGCCTGGCGTAATGGGTAGGTCAACTTACGGTTTGTGAGTCACTTGGACACCATGCACAGCGATAGATTGAAGAAAGAAGGTGGTAGGCCGGAAAAGCCTGTGGCTGGATTCCTGACACAGCTCAGCTTAGAAAACCTCCTGGAGTAATCAGGTAAAATGGCGTCTGGATGACCCGGAAGTGGAAATCATTCTGATGCTGACCTCAAGCGATATGAGTCAGGTAAGGGGTGTCCCTTATATAGGGGAGTGAATTAATTTAAGCCCCTCCCACAAATACAGGCAAAACTGCCTTAATACATATATATGTATGTATATATATATATATGTATCATAAAAAACAAGAAAGAAAAGGGGGGGGGGTGATTTAAATAAACATCTCCTATGTGGGGAATAACCCCTAGTGAATAACTTCACCAAAAATGCAAAAGAAAGAAGAAAAAAGGAGAAAGATAGGACAGACTATTACCAATAGTCCTAGTAGAGTGGATTTCCCTTAGAGAAAAGGGAAATAGTGGCGGGAACCGTTAGTGTCTAATAGCACAATCCCAAATATAAAACGTAGCTTTTAATAATAACTAACTAAAAAAACACAAATAATGGTGGATTCAATTGCCCTCCAAGACAGCTATGTCTGTATATAGCCGAACAACGGCACCTCCAGGAGCAGTCAGAAACAGAGTCCCTCTTGGGGACTGGCAGCTATTAATAGCAGAGTGTAAAAAAGAGGTAGAACAATGTTACAAAATAAGTAACCATACGCTACTTGATACTGAGTAGTGTAATAAGTAACCACACACTGCTTGATACTAAGTTGTGTGGATATATTAGCAAGACAGTATCCACTGTGAGTCTATATTACCCTCACAGGATACGATAAAGTATCAAGGTGGAATACTGTCAGGATAAATAGTAAATTATATGGTGTGATTACCAATACAATAAACCTTACAGGATCATGTTTGATGCTGCAAGTGAGAACCTGTCCAATTATAAAGCTAAATAGCTGACACAAATTAGGGAGAGAGGTAGCTAATGATAGGTGTGGCAAGGGGGAAAAAACTACTAAGCACTCAGTAGATATGTTAGATATATAAGAGCCCTAGCCGCTTGTGCCTTCGAGGGCACCCCTTAACCCAAAAAGCCTAATAGCTCCTAATACTTATCAGTAGTATGCCCACCCCCAAATTATAGAATGCACTCAAAAGATATATATCGATGCCGTAAATGCTCCTAAACGGAACCCCCCGGGTTCGGAGTTGCCGATAGGTATAGATTGTCCTGTCTAAGTAGCAGGGTAGCAAAGTATTAAGACACTGATGGTGCAGTAAAAAGGAGAGGATAACGCCGGGTACAAGCCCCTTCCTAAACGGAACCCCCCGGGTTCTGAGTTGCCGATAGGTATAGATTGTCCTGTCTAAGTAGCAGGGTAGCAAAGTATTAAGACACTGATGGTGCAGTAAAAAGGAGAGGTTCCCGCCACTATTTCCCTTTTCTCTAAGAGAAATCCACTCTACTAGGACTATTGGTACTAGTCTGTCCTATCTTTCTCCTTTTTTCTTCTTTCTTTTGCATTTTTGGTGAAGTTATTCACTAGGGGTTATTCCCCACATAGGAGATGTTTATTTAAATCACCCCCCCCCCCTTTTCTTTCTTGTTTTTTATGATATTTATGCTCAGGGTTTTAATACCCAAATTCAGCCTCTGTTTATCCTCCCACCTCAAATGACAACACTTCTAGCTGGAGTTGCTGACCCAACAGCTAGACCAAATGACATTAGCAATGTCTTTTCATTAGAACCCTTGGGATGTAATAATCCGAATGATATTAACAATGTATTTTTTTCAATTCAGCAACTCTATAAGCTACAAATAAAAGGATATTGGGAAGTCACCAGTCTACGCCATTATCTAGACCAGAAATTGGTACCAAGAGGCTTAAGACCGGAGATTTCCACACCCGATAAAGTTAATACTGAGGATAAACTAAAAGAGTGGAATGATATTCTTATAAACTGCTCATATAAACTTATGCAGTTTCTTGTTAAACTTGAGGAGGAGAATTTTGAAAAAGTAAATAAAGATTTACAAAATGAGGTTATCAAAGTTAAAGAATTCCAGTCTAATTCAGAGTACACACTAATGGAAAACAAATTACAAAACAATATAGACAACTTTACAACACATATTAAAGAAAAGAAACATTACAAATTTCAACGAGATTACAAAGATTTTAAGGAAGGCACAATATTTAGGCAAACTAAGAGATCAAACATACGAGCTAATAGAAAAAATAGTTACTCTTCAGGCAATACAGAATGGACGGACTCAGATTCTGGTCCAACACAAGGCAAGAATCCATCCTCTGGCTTGAAAACCCCCCATTCTACAAGAAGGGGGATATTAAAAGATCCAAACAAAACTGTAGCTTTCTTAGACACCCCTCCCCCATCTACTACAGTATCCTCGTCGGGCTCTACTTCTTTTTTAGACCAAGCCTGGCCCCTACCACAGAGGGGAAGGTTACGAGACCGGCAGAGATGGGGTACAAACCCAACCGCAGCAACCCCAGGAATTAGATCAGTTGGATATTTCCAACATGAAAATGATCAATCTTTCAAATTTCAAACTCCTTCCCGATCACATTACACTATTGAATAAAGGATTATCATTCGTACCCACCCCGAGCGCAGACAAGTTTGAATGGCTGAAGGATATTAACCTATTTGGCCGTAAACTAGCCTTATGCTCACTACATAAAAAGAAAAATAATAAAGAAGCGAAGGAATTAGGTCTTACCAATGAAGATTTTATACATTTTCAAACTCTGGTACAACTTCTTACTGAACAAGAAACTGCACCTCCACTTACCAGCTTTAAACCACTAAGTTGGTTTACCCCCAATTTCAGAGACGATATTAACGTGGACCTGTTTGTAAAAATGACTACCGAGACAATCGAATCCTTACCCACACCTATAATTCAACAAAATAATCTTTCATTTGGTGAACAAAAAGCCTTCAAAGACCTAAGCAACAATAAAAATATTGTCATAAAACCATCAGATAAGGGTGGCAACATTGTCATAATGGAAAGGGAGACATATGTGGATATGTGTCTCATACATTTAAATAATTCCTCTTGCTACAGGAAACTGGGGGAGGACCCCACTTCATCCTATTTCAAATCTCTTCGAACCTTATTAGATGGTGCCACGACAAAAGGCATCATAACTAATGACGAATCGAGATTTATTCTGCCTAAAAATTCACCAACCATTGCTACCTTCTATTGCCTTCCAAAGGTGCATAAAAATCTCACTCACCCCCCGGGTAGACCAATTGTCTCTGGAAATCAATGCCTTACAGAAAATGCAAGCAGATTTCTTGAAAATCTTTTACATCCCTTTGTTATAGGGCTAGACTCTTTTCTACAAGATACAAAACAGACTCTATTGACCTTAGAACATCTAACTGTTCCACCTTACACTCTTCTTGCGAGTCTAGATGTGGTATCATTATATAACAATATCCCACATGACATAGGCATTAAAGCTACCTCTTATTTTTTACAGAAGTCCAACAAATTCTCCACACAACACCAACAATTCATATTAGATCTACTTACCTTTGTGCTAACACATAATTATTTTGTATTTAACGGAATATATTATTTGCAGATTAAGGGCACCGCTATGGGGACAGCTTGTGCCCCTAGTTATGCCAATCTATACCTTGGCTGGTGGGAAGAAACTTTAGTATCGGAAATTGACTATGAGTACCGCCAATTGATATTGAATTGGCATAGATACATCGATGATGTGCTTCTTTTCTGGACAGGATCTATTGTGAAATTCCAACAGTTCGTGAATATTCTTAATGACAACAACATCGGATTGCAATTAACATCTGTCATTGATGAGAAGACATTGGAATTTCTAGATCTGAGAATTATATTGGGTATGGATGGCTTGGAGGAAAGACGAGACAGGGGGGATATGATAGAAACATTTAAATATATAAAGGGAATCAACACAGTAAAGGAGGAGACTATATTTAAAAGAAGAAAAACTACCACAACAAGAGGACATAGTCTTAAATTAGAGGGACAAAGGTTTAAAAATAATATCAGGAAGTATTACTTTACTGAGAGGGTAGTGGATGCATGGAATAGCCTTCCAGCTGAAGTGGTAGAGGTTAACACAGTAAAGGAGTTTAAGCATGCGTGGGATAGGCATAAGGCTATCCTAACTATAAGATAAGGCTAGGGACTAATGAAAGTTTTTAGAAAATTGGGCAGACTAGATGGGCCGAGTGGTTCTTATCTGCCGTCACATTCTATGTTTCTATGTTTCTATGTTTCTATGTTTCTATGGCACAGTAACAACTGAACTGTACAGAAAGGCCACTGCTACCAACAGCTTATTGCACTGGCAAAGCCACCACCCATTCAAATTGAAGGCCGCTATACCCTACGGCCAGTATCTAAGGGCACGGAGAAACTGCTCCCAAGAGATTGCCTTCCAGAAAGAAGCAAAGGATATAAAAGCCAGATTCAAGGAACAGGGGTATCCTAATAGAATTCTAAAAAAAGCGTACCAAAAGGTAAACGGCATGGACAGATCACTCTGTCTTCGTTCTTCGAGACCTATATTACCAAAACAAACTATAAGATGTGTTGGTACCTTTGACCAATATTGGGAACCCGTGAGAAAAATTTTGACAAACAACTGGCCAATTCTTTTACACGATAAAGAACTCCAAGATAATATCACCTTACACCCTACTCTCACGGCACGAAGACCTAAGAATTTGAGAGATTCCCTTGTCCACAGTCACCTGGAACCCCCCATCACAGCTCCATGTTGGCTAACACAGACGAAGGGTACCTACAAATGTGGGTCGTGTAAGGCTTGCAAATATATTAATCCAGCCAAATCTATTCTCTGCACTAAAACTAACAAACAATATGTTATTCGTGATTTTATCAATTGTAGCACCACTAGAATTATCTATGTCATTACATGCAATTGCAATATTCAGTACATAGGTAAGACATACCAACAATTTCGGAGACGCATCCTACAACACATTAATTCAGTCACCAATATTAACATCTGTACACCAGTAGCTAATCATGTTCGATCTCAACATCAAGGGGATCCATCTAGCCTCCACTTTCAAGCCATTGAACGCTTATCTACCAATGCCAGAAGAGGTGACTTTAATATAAGACTATTGAAAAGGGAGTCCAAATGGATTCATGAATTTAAAACTCACACACCCTCGGGTCTTAATGAAGAATTCAATTTCACCCCATTCATACATTAATAAAATTATACTTCATTCCTTATGGCTAATCAAATGGCCTCCAGATGGTTATTATGCCTTTCCAGTATTCTCTTTGTTTATATTGTCTCCTGAGTTGTGGCATAATTTTCTTATTGTGTCTCAGCTACCTCAAGACACCTTTAATTACCAATACACTCGGTTCCTCCGTATATTTACTTCTATTCCCATTTATATTTCATTTGGACCACCGTGTTCTCTATGTGGATATTGTACGGTATTTAGGATAATTTAATTCATTATCCTGTCAGTAACCTTCCACTGACGTCTCCTCCTCCTCAGTAGGATAATGCCATTAAGGTAATGTGTATCATCACCTGAATGATTTGTCACTGTAACAATTACGTAATTTGGCATCGGCAGAGTAAGGGTTACAAAGTAACCCCACCCACTATAGACTGCCGAACCTCCCATTGGCTAACCAATTGACCAATGGGATTCGACCTTCTCTCCTATATAAACCGGATCGGAACGGGAGCTCAGTTCCCCTCTGAAGAGCTTTGAGTGGCGAAACGCGCGTCAGGGGCTTGTACCCGGCGTTATCCTCTCCTTTTTACTGCACCATCAGTGTCTTAATACTTTGCTACCCTGCTACTTAGACAGGACAATCTATACCTATCGGCAACTCCGAACCCGGGGGGTTCCGTTTAGGAAGGGGCTTGTACCCGGCGTTATCCTCTCCTTTTTACTGCACCATCAGTGTCTTAATACTTTGCTACCCTGCTACTTAGACAGGACAATCTATACCTATCGGCAACTCCGAACCCGGGGGGTTCCGTTTAGGAGCATTTACGGCATCGATATATATCTTTTGAGCGCATTCTATAATTTGGGGGTGGGCATACTACTGATAAGTATTAGGAGCTATTAGGCTTTTTGGGTTAAGGGGTGCCCTCGAAGGCACAAGCGGCTAGGGCTCTTATATATCTAACATATCTACTGAGTGCTTAGTAGTTTTTTTCCCCCTTGCCACACCTATCATTAGCTACCTCTCTCCCTAATTTGTGTCAGCTATTTAGCTTTATAATTGGACAGGTTCTCACTTGCAGCATCAAACATGATCCTGTAAGGTTTATTGTATTGGTAATCACACCATATAATTTACTATTTATCCTGACAGTATTCCACCTTGATACTTTATCGTATCCTGTGAGGGTAATATAGACTCACAGTGGATACTGTCTTGCTAATATATCCACACAACTTAGTATCAAGCAGTGTGTGGTTACTTATTACACTACTCAGTATCAAGTAGCGTATGGTTACTTATTTTGTAACATTGTTCTACCTCTTTTTTACACTCTGCTATTAATAGCTGCCAGTCCCCAAGAGGGACTCTGTTTCTGACTGCTCCTGGAGGTGCCGTTGTTCGGCTATATACAGACATAGCTGTCTTGGAGGGCAATTGAATCCACCATTATTTGTGTTTTTTTAGTTAGTTATTATTAAAAGCTACGTTTTATATTTGGGATTGTGCTATTAGACACTAACGGTTCCCGCCACTATTTCCCTTTTCTCTAAGGGAAATCCACTCTACTAGGACTATTGGTACTAGTCTGTCCTATCTTTCTCCTTTTTTCTTCTTTCTTTTGTATATATATATGTATGTATGTATATATATATATATATATATATATATATAAATATATATATATATATGTATGTATGTATGTATATATATGTATGTATGTATGTATGTATGTATATATAATACGTATAAACATTTCTGCCTCACACTCACAGCGTCCTGGTCTTTCTGCGCCTTGGTGCAACACCACTGTGGCCAAGATGCATCGAACTTGAATGAGCACGATCAAAATTAAATTCTGCTTTATAGTGCATTAATAGTGCTACATTATGTAGTGCACTCTTTCACATTCAGTATATGTAGATGTATACAACATTTATCATGGTAAGTGTGGGGATAATACAAATATTTAGGACCTGAAACAGGCAAAATAACCATTGACCAATAAAATACCAAGATTTTGAAATCTTGCAAATGAATACTAGTATAATATTGTATTTATGAAAATGGTAGACACAAAAGTAAAATGATCAAATGATTAAGAAAAGCTAAAACCTTCCCTCGGTTCCAACTCTGAGGCAAAGTTCTACCTTAGCCTGATCCTGCTGCCTTGATATCATTCAATCTTGATGGAGGGTGAGGGACCTTAGGGAGGATGGGCTGAGTGAAAGATATGGGTGGCATGGCAATTTTTAACAGAAGTAATATTGGAGCTCAACAAGGTGAACAACAAACTGAAAAGTGATTTTGAGGACTTTGAGATTAGATCACAGCTTGAAGTTTATCAAGAACAGAATTTATGATACTAGGTGACCTGTTTCGTTAAGGTTTTTTTTTTTTTAATTCTTTATTTTATCTGTGCACGAGATAACCTAAAAGCTGACGATGCCACAACAGCATAGTACAAGCCCATTAAAGCAAGGTATTTCACATAGATGGCATTGAATTATTGGCACATTTTTTGTAATTGTAAGACGATAAACAAGCTAGGTACACACATCTAATTGTAAGTCACCAGAGTGATAAGCATTAACATCAGTATGCATAAAGTAGTGGGCATTATAAGAGTAACTGTGATGCAACTTAATGTTATGATCTGGCAGCATGACTAGTCTGGATAATGCTATACAGTTAACTGTTCTAAGATAGGTACGCCATCACAGGTTATGTAGATAGATAAAAACAAGCTATTAGCAGGTTTAATACCTGACTCACTGATTTGTTTGTTAGCCTGAGCAAGTTCAGTGGAACTATTGTCTAGTTGTGTAGGCTATGCTGGCCTCTCTATTGCTGCCTGGGGTTGTGTGACATGCTGGCTGGAATCATATAACATGCTAGCTAGAGTCATATTAACAGGCTAGTGACTGGTATGACCTCTGTAACCCCTCTCTTGTAATATAGCATGTATTGGCATAGGCAGGCAACTAAGGACACCTAAACATAAAAAAGAAAAAACAAAGTTTGAGTACATAGTCAACAGCTTTGTTTGTCTGCGTACAGACTGGTTAAGCTGTTGTTGCATGTCCTAGCGGGTGGCATGGGTACCGTGCTCAGGAACAATTGGCACTGTCAGCCAACACCTCGGTTTTGTGTTGCCACGTAGTCCCTGGGAGCTGCTTGGTAGTAGATCATCTGATGCCCCGTCTGGAGGCTGTGAGTGCAGGTGTGGGGTGGATGTCAGTGAGCCCCCCCGTCCGCGCCTCGGGACCCTCTGTGTTCACATGGGCTTATCTGTGTATTCCAGGTGGGGCGCCCTTCCTGCCCTGAGACTCTGTGAGAACCGGTACCACCATTTCACTTACCCGTCGCTGTTTTGGGGCCTGGTCCTTCCCCGGTGTGGGGCTGCGTAGGGCAGCACTTCAGCGCTTCCGTGGGTGCTTTGCTCTCTTCCGAAGGTGTGTGTGGCTTGTGGGGTCTTACCCCTTATGACTCTCATCCCAGGCAGGCTGTCATTCTTGTTTTTCGTCGGCTTAGCTGTAGCTTTGGGGCCCCTCCTGCTGCGCCTTGGTCTTGAGCCGGTCTGGGTATGGAGCTCTGGCTGGCTCCTGTGCTGCGGGTGCTTTGGTCCCTCCGCTGGCCCGTGGTGGCGTTGGCGACTGGTGTTAATCCTCCAGACAGTCCCAGAATTGCCTGCATATGGCATCGAACCTCGCCTGGAAGGCTGCGGCCCAGTCAATGAGTGCTTGTGTTGTGTGGACGGCGGTACCGTCAGCCAACTTAGTGAGGCCTCGTGTCTCCCACCAGTCAGCCTTGCGACCTGATTCAAGTTGTGGGTGAGTGCTCACGTTTTGGGGATGACCCCCGCCGGTCCATAGGGGGGACCCTGGCACAAAAGCTCAGTCGGCCATGGTGGAAGAGGAGCGGCTGTCTCTTCTGCACTCGACATGCTTGTAGGCCTCAGACTCCTATCAGGCAAATGTTGCTCCAAACGGCTCGTAAGTGGTATCAATTCGCGCTGCTGGTTGTCGCTTTTTGTTTGGTGACTGTCTCGCTTCAATAAATTGTCACTTGGGCAATGAAAGTTCACTTTAATTGTTGCCTGCAGCAGGAGCTGTTGAGGTTTGCTTCCTCTCATCTCTGCGGTCAGGCCCCGCCCTCTTTAAAGTATTTTAAAGAAGAGATGGATTAGTTATTTTACTGTAATAGTACTATATTGTATGTTATTTTAATTGATTAAAGAGGAATCCGTTATTGGTGACATTGCATATAGACATCATAAATTCATGGAAGAAGTATATGGTTCTAAGTCTGCTCAAGGGTAAACATTTTACAATTTTACGGGCATTGGTTAGTAAGATGAATAGGTTTTCTGTGCTTTATCACCACTTTTATATTTATTAACAGGGTTATTCACTTAAGTGATAATTCAAAATGTATCTAAACTGGAAAAGTTATCAAAGTCAGCTATGCTTTCACTGTTAATTTTGGCGGCAGATTTCAATTTAGGTTTAGGCATAGTCTTTTGACTAAAACGCCATTTTAGTTTAAGTCATATTTAAGTTATCTGAATTGTTTTAGTCTACTAAATCTCCAGCAGATTTTAGTCAATACATCTAAAAATAAATGGATTTTGTTAAACCCTCTCTCTTTTACCCCTTCCCCTGCCCCTCTGTGTCTCTTTGTGGCCCCCCCAACCCTCTGGGTGTCTCTCCCCAAGCCCTGATCTGTCTCTTTTGCCCCTTCCACAAACCCTCTGTGTCTTTGTGCCCCTAGCCCCTCTGAGTGTTTCCAGCCCAAGCCCTTGTCTGTCTCTTTTGTCCCTTCCCCGGCCCCCCACTGTGGCTCTCCTTCCCCCCTTCCCCCTCCTAACACCCATATGCCTCTTTCTCTCCATAGCCCCATTTTTTCTCTTCCATCCAAGTCTCTCCCCCCCCAGTTCTCCCTAGTGTCTATTTCTCCAAGCCCCCTCATGTGTCTCTTTCTTCCAGCCTCCTTGTGTCTCTTTCTCTCAGCCCCCTCTCATCTATCTCTCTCTGATCTCTAGTCTCTCCATCCTCATGTGTCTCTTTCTCCCAGACCCCTCATGTGTCTTTCTCCCAGTCCCCTCATGTGTCTCTTTCTTCCATCCCCCTCATATGTCTTTCTCCCAGCCCCCTCATGTGTCTCTTTCTTCCAGCCCCTCATGTGTCTCTTTCTCCCAGACCCCTCATGTGTCTTTCTCCCAGTCCCCTCATGTGTCTCTTTCTCCCAGCCCCCTCATATGTCTTTCTCCCAGCCCCCTCATGTGTCTCTTTCTTCCAGCCCCTCATGTGTCTCTTTCTCCCAGACCCCTTAAGTGTCTCTTTCTCCCAGCCCCCTCATGTGTCTCTTTCTCCCAGCCCCCTCATGTGTCTCTTTCTTCCAGCCCCCTCATGTGTCTATTTCTCCCAGACCCCTCATGTGTCTTTCTCCCAGACCCCTCATGTGTCTCTTTCTCCCAGACCACTCATGTGTCTTTCTCCCAGTCCCCTCATGTGTCTCTTTCTCCCAGCCCCCTCATGTGTCTTTCTCCCAGACCCCTCATGCGTCTCTCTCTCCCAGCCACCTCATGTCTCTTTCTCCCAGCCCCCTCAGGTGTCTCTCTTTCCCAGACCCCTCATGTGTCTCTTTCTCCCAGACCCCTCATGTGTCTCTTTCTCCCAGACCCCTCATGTGTCTCTCTCTCCCAGACCCCTCATGTGTCTCTTTCTCCCAGACCCCTCACGTGTCTTTCTCCCAGTCCCCTCATGTGTCTCTTTCTCCCAGCCCCCTCATGTGTCTCTTTCTCCCAGCAGCCCTCATGTGTCTCTTTCTCCCAGCCCTCTCATGTGTCTCATTATCCCAGCCCCCCCATGTGTCTCATTTCCTCTCCCCTGTCCCCCATGTGTCTTATCCGCCAGTGTTAATTTTGGTGGCAAACTTCAACTTAATTTTCATCACAGTCTTTCGACTTAAAAGCCATTTTAGTTTTGGTCGTATTTTAGTCATATGAATTGTTTTAGAGTTAGTCTATTGACTAAATCAAAAAAATTTTAGTAGACTAAAATCTGATTAAAATTGTTAGTCGACAAAAGTAACATACTAATAATTATCTTAAAATAGACTCTTATGAAGTTGAAGGACCACTAAAATTACCCAGGCCACTTCATCTCAATAAAGTGTTCTGGTTACAGTGTTAATTTTATCCGTGCAATATTTCATTTTTTAGAAACTGCAATCTTTAGATGCTCTTTAGAGTTCCATTAACGGGGCCTTCTATGCATCCAGACCACTTCATCTCAATAAAGTGTTCTATAAAGTGGCATGTCCCTGTCTGTTTAAAACTAATGTAAAACATTGCCATACTGCAGGAACGGCAATGTTTACATTGCAGGGTTTAAATGCCTCCAGTGGCTGTCACTGTAACAGTCACTACAGGTGCGTATTTCCATATAGCTAAGTAAGTAAAACTCAACTACTTCTACTAGATCAAGCATGTCAAACTTGTGGCCCACAATCAATAAATTTGCGGCCCTCCTGCCCTGGGGCCACTTTGTGCTGTGGCTGTGAACAGCCCCAAGACCGGAAAGATATTTCTTGTCTGATTCTTGTCTTCCCTCCCACGGTCGCAAGAGAACAGAACGGCTGTCTGCAGAGCATGCCAACCACTCCCCCTTCCCTTCTGCTCTCAGTGCCAGAGGAACATCTGGCCTGGTTGCAGGGAAGAGCAGAGCTGGAACTGCAGGGCAGGCTACTCATTTTAAGGTAGGGGAAGAGGGGTTTGGGGGACCATTCTGTGTAGTGTGTTAAATTGGGGAGTGGGGGCAGTGTATTAATTTGGGAAGGGTGGGGGCCAGTGTATTAAATTGGGGGAGGGAGATAGCACTGTATTCATTTAAGGGAGGGTGGGGGCAGTGTATTAATTTGGGGCGGGAGGAGGGCAGTGTATTAAATGGTGGGAGGGAGTGTGGCTGTGTATTAGAGTGGTGGGTGGGTGGCAGTGTATTAAATTGGGGGGAGGGCAGTGAATTCAGTTAATGGAGGAAGAGGGGAGTGTATTAAATTGGGGGAGGGCATGGAATTAATTTAGGGGAGGAAGGGGGCAGTGATTTAAATTAGAGTGGTGAGAGGGGGGCAATGTATTAAATTAGAGTGGTGAGAGAGGGGGCAGTGTATTCAATTAGAGTGGAGGGAGGAGGGGCAGTGTTTTAGATTAAAGAATCACTATAGTGTCAGGAAAACAAAGCGGTTTTCCTGACACTATAATGCCCTGAGGGTGCCCCCACCATCAGGGTCCCCCTCCCGTGGCGCTGAAGGGGTTAAACCCCCCTTCAGCAGCTTACTTTATTCCAGCGCCGGTGTCCTTCGGCGCTGGTGACCTCTCCTCCCCTGCTCCTGAGTGGAGCGGCATTCAAAAGTCCATAGGAAAGCATTTCTCAATGCTTTCTTATGGACGCTCTGCGCGTCAAGAAGACAGCCACTAGAGGTTGGCTTAACCCCTAATGTAAACATAGTTACATAGTTACATAGCTGAAAAGAGACTTGCGTCCATCAAGTTCAGCCTTCCTCACAAATGTTGTTGCTGTTGATCCAAAAGAAGGTAAAAAACCTAGTCTGAAGCGCTTCCAATTTTGCCACAAACTAGAAAAAATTCCTTCTTGACCCCAAAATAGCAGTCAGATGTCTCCTTGGATCAAGCAGCTATTACCCCACTAATTAGAAACTTTATCCCTGTATGTTATGTTTTTGTAAGTATTTATCCAATTGCAGTTTAACCCCTTAAGGACCGGACTGTTTTTGCGATGTTGTACATTTGCGACCAGGCATATTTTTACACTTTTGTGGTGTTTGTGTTTAGCTGTAATTTTCCACTCTCTCATTTACTGTTCCCATACAAATTATATAAAATGGGCTTTCTTTACATACCATTATTTATATAATCTCATGTAATTTAATTTAAAAAAAATAAACAAAAAAATTATGAAAAATTGAAAAAAATAAGTTTTTTTACTTTTACTTGAAGAATCTTTTACTCATCTACAAAACAAATGAAAAAAACTGCTAAATAGATTCAAAATGTTGTCCTGAGTTTAAAAATACCCAGTGTTTATGTGCTTTTTTGCAAGTAATAGGGCTATAGCTACAAGTAGGATATTGCAGTTTCAAAACATATATTTTTAAAATTTATCAATAGTGACATTGTAACACTATTATCTGTCATAAATCTCTGAATAACACACCACATTTACATATTTTTTTTAAAGTAGACAACCCAGGGTATTCAATATGGGGTATGTCCAGTCTTTTTTAGTAGCCACTTAGTCAAAAACACTGGCCAAGGTTAGCATTCATATTTGTGTGTGAAAAAAGTAAAAAACTAAATTGAATGCTAATGTTGGCCAGTGTTTGTGACTAAGTGGTTACTAA